AGACCTGATGCCAGCGGTGCAAGCCGCTCCCTATGTCAGCAACTTCACGATCCGCGAGCAGGACGACATAATCCTGATTGCCACCAGAGAGTTCTGGGAGTACCTGGATCCCGCTCTGGTGGTTGACTTTGCAAGGCAGGAGCGCAGTGACTTGATGAGAGCATCGCAGAAGCTTCGCGATTTAGCCATTGCCTATGGCGCCACCAACAAGATCATGGTCATGATGATGAGCGTTGCCGACCTTAAGAGGCGGGTTGAACGGTCAAGGCTTCATCGTGGTCAGAGTATGTCTCTGTACCCCTCGGGCGTACCGGAAGATCTTCAGCAGCCCATGCGCAGAGGCAAGAGGAACAAGGCCGACGTTCTCGACTCAAGTCTACAACGTCTTGAGGCTGAGATTCCAGCCCCGACAGGCAACGTCTCCATAGCCTTCACTGATATCAAGAACTCGACTACTCTATGGGAGATGTACCCCGCTGCCATGAGATCTGCAATCAAGCTGCATAACGAGGTCATGCGTCGGCAGCTGCGAAGAATTGGTGGATACGAAGTGAAGACTGAAGGAGATGCTTTCATGGTCTCTTTCCCGACAGCCACATCGGCGCTTCTCTGGTGTTTTGCTGTTCAGATGTCGTTGCTGGATGTCAATTGGCCTTCCGAAGTAATCAACTCCGTTTCCTGCCAGGCACTCTACGACAAGGACAATGCCCTGATTTTCAAGGGTCTTTCTGTACGTATGGGCATTCACTTTGGTGAAGCGGTTAGTGAGATGGACCCTGTCACGAGACGTATGGATTACTTTGGTCCTATGGTCAACAAAGCTTCTCGTATCTCGTCCGTTGCTGACGGTGGACAAATCACCGTTTCCTCTGATTTCATTTCAGAGATTCAGCGCTGTCTGGAGAACTATCAGGACACAGACAGAAACGGATCGACTGGATCCGAAGATACCTTTGACGACGACCAGATGGGTTCGGCAATTCGGAAAGACCTGCGCTCTCTCAGCTCTCAGGGCTTTGAGGTCAAGGAAATGGGTGAGAAGAAGCTCAAAGGCCTCGAGAACCCAGAAGTCGTATACTCCTTGTACCCACATGCACTTGCAGGCCGTATCGAGCATCATCAACAACACGAACAACGGACTGAGGTCGACAAACCCGCCATTCTCCAGGCAGGCAGCGAGTTGGCTTTCGACACGGAATCAATCTGGGCTTTGTGGCGTGTCAGCTTGCGGCTGGAGATGCTGTGCAGCTCTCTAGAAAATGTCTCTGGCCAGGGCTTACAGCCACCCGAAACAGAGTTGTTGGAGAGAATGAAACACCGAGGAGGTGAGGTCACGGAACGATTCCTGCTCAACTTCATGGAGCATCAAGTGAGCAGAATAGAGGTACGTCCTGATGCAGTACTTGTTTTGTGAAGGGTCTTGGCTAATCGATTGACAGACGTGCGTGACGAGTTTGTCGCTTCGTCACATTGCCTTCGGCAGCGCTCCACTGCAACAACTCGAGGACATGCGAGGTCCCATGAGTGACATCCTTGACCAGGTTGCCAAGCAGATGGCCGAGCTAGCACGGTACAAGGCGTTGTACGGCGAGTTGAACGACACTGAAGACGACGGGAGCGAAACGGAATGAGAGAAGCGTAGCGAGCGTTCATTTCATGATTCCCTTACTGCGACCTCATATAGTATACCTACGACGCGAGACAGCATCCCGTCTACCACCAAGGCAACAACAATAACATCGAGAACAACAACAACAATACCTGAATACCCGTTTCTTTCAGGGGGGAGAACAAGGCGCCACTTATATACATATTCCATTACTGTATCATGCGATTACGACACCCAGACAATTTTAGCGAGTCGCAGTTTTGACCCAAACTGCTTTCCGATTGTCATTACTTCAGCAAGTTGGGTTACCCAGGGCTTGGGCTAGTGAGCTGCTCCGACCGGCTGGTCGTGGAAGGTGTGTTGGATGGAGGTAAAGGCGGTGGATAGGATAGGGCAGGGGGCGGTTTGGGACTGGGCCGGACTGAGTGCTGGCATGGATTGAAAACAGTAAAAGTGCGTAGTGATTTTGGGAATGCGGAAGGGTTGGTCGGTGACACAGTGGCATTGGCATTGGCATTGGCAGTAGTCGCGGTAGTTGTTGGTGTTGGAAAGAGAGGAAACGAGGCCTTGCTTGCACTGGTTGGCCTTTTGTGGTAGGATAGTGTCTGCTCTTGTCTTAGTGCCACAAAGCCGGAGCACACCGCTCGGCGTATGAAACGATTGAAATACCTCGTGTTGTCTCCCATCAACTCGAAGCTTATGCCCTTCCTTTCCTTCGTACAAGTGATTTTCGTCCAAGTGATCTGGGACCATCTGACACTGATGCGTTCTTTTTGTATTCTTACACACTATCCATCTATAAAGACAACCCATCTATGAAGACACGATACGGGCACCGGCGCCACCGACATCCTTGGCCCGCTTCATGATGCGTATCCGCGGCTCCATCCGCGGCCCAACCCACCAGCCGCCCGTCACGCCCCGTACGAAATCCCGTACGCGTTTGACAACGAGTCCTCTGCCGAGGATCTTGCTCTCCCCCGTCTCTTCGTCGCCTTCTCCGGACGAGGTAGCGGAACCCGGCTTGAGTACCTCGATGCCGGCGTACCCCTGCACGACGCCCACCGTCTCCCACTGCCCTCCTTTTACGGAGGCCGTGTCCTCGGCGAGGACGTAGTCGAAGCGAGACCAGAAGCCCGGGTCGGAGAGGATGGACTTGTCTTCCGTTTTATCAAATGCGAGGATCGGATCCGTGCCTGATGGTGACGATGATGAGGAGGAGTCTTGTTGTTGGAGAGAGGTCTCGAGGGCGCGGGAGTGCGGGTTCTTTGGCAGGCCGGCGCGGTTCTGGGTGAAGAGGGTGACGCCCGTCATGCAGCTCAGCACGTCGGTGTGGACGGTCGTGACGGAGCTGGCGGCGGGGGACGCGGCGACGAGGGCGTGCAGCTGGCGGAGGGCGTCGCCGCCGGGGTAGTTTAGGGAGGAGAGGAGGAGCATGCCCGTCGAGGCGGCGAGGGCGGCGAGGACGCTGGTGGCGAGGAGGAGGGAGGCGAGCGCGTAGAGGGCGGATTTGGCGCGCCGGGCGAAGATGAAGTGTGCGCCCTGGGCGGCGGCGGCGGTCAGGGGCGGGACGGCGTAGAAGATGAAGCGGGCTTCCTTGTGCGGCTGGAGGGAGTAGATGGCCACGAAGAGCAGGGGCGGGACGACGAGGCCCGCGGCGGAGCGGGAGGTGCCGGGCTGCGCGAGGGCGAGCGGGATCAGGAGGGCGAAGGTCAGGGGGTTGACGAGCAGGCGCGGGAGGGCGGAGGAGAAGTAGTAGTGCCAGGGGGAGACGCCCCAGTTTGACGAGGAGCCGAGGACGGCGTTGTAGTAGAAGCCCCAGAGCTCTGGCCAGAGGGGCTTTTGCCAAAAGTACGAGTCCAGGGGCACGGAGACGGCGAGGGCGACGGCGAAGGCGATGAGGAAGGGGCGGACGAGCTGGGGGATCGTGAGCTGGCGGGTGAGGAGGAGGTGGAGGCCCGTCGTGGCGAGGAGGAGGGCGACTTCGGAGCGGAAGATTGCGGCGGCGAAGACGAGGAGGGAGAGGGCTACGCGGAGGCGCGGGAGGCGGGATTGCGGGGATTGGTTTGGGAGGAGGTTTGCGGATGCGAGGGTTGCTGTGAAGGGTGTTTGTTAGAATGTTGGATTTTGAGAGGGGGCAAAGAAAGAGGGGGGTTAGAAGACACGAGAACTCACTCAAAGCAAAGGCAAACATGTTGGGTAACGTCCTCGACGCATAAAAGATGACGTGGAACTGGCCGACGAGCAACAGAACCCACCACCGCATGACGCCCTCGCCCATGCCCTTTCTCAGGCTCCTCGCGAACACGACGAGGGCGGCGGCGTTGGCGAGGCCCAGCAAGCCGCGGACGACGAGCTGGGCGTGGGCGAAGCCGACGAGGTTGACGAGGGGCCCGCCGAGGCCGGCGAGCAGCACGGGGCCGACAAAAGTGCGGGGCACGGCGCCGGGGAACTCAAAGTGGTCGTAGGTGGCCCTCAGACGGGCGGCGACGTCGTGGGTTGGCGTGCCGTAGACGAGGACGTCGTGGGTGGCTTGGATGTTGAAGGATTCCTCTACTTTTGTGTCCGGGGCCAGGAGGAGGTGGAGGGTGATGAGGGCCGGGATGAGACCCAGAAGGGCGGTATCTGAGTGACTGATTAGTATCTTTTATGAGTTGTGATGAGAATTTGGGGGTGTTCTTGTTTGGGTTACCTAGGAGCTTCATTGTGATGGTGCCGGCAAGGAGGCGCAGAAGCTGTGAGATGTGGTTGTTAAAAAGCAGGTGAAGGAGCGTGTTGTCGGGTGTGACTATCTCATTGTTGGAAAATACACAGAGAACAGGAAAGCCCCGGTGAAGAAGCTAAAAAATAAAAAAAGATGGGGTTGAACAACGAGAAGATGAGGTCTTTGAAACAATTTGCCCTGTGCTTTTCCCTTGCCTCATACGACCCTCGATTCTCTGCTTCTCACGATTTCCGCTCTTTTTTACTTGAAGCAGGTGTAAGCTGGCGTCTCGTGCAGATCCAAATGCCATTGAAAGGGTGAAGCTCTGAGCGTCCGTGCACAGCCCAGCGCCAGCACCACTCAATGCAAGCTGTCTACTAGGAACTTAGGGGTCAGCCATGCCGCGACAGAGTGACAGGCCACATAAGTTACGGGGCACCTATTGCAGGGATTCTCCTTCGGAACGGATCAAATACGCCTCCCCACCTCTGACGGCGCATCCCATCCCTCCTAAGGTAAGCTCTGGACAGCGCAGCGCAACACCATCACCACCTGGCTTCAATTCGAACGACGAAGAGCTAAAAACCCACCTTCCTACAAGCTCCACCCGCGGAAAGGACACAACAATACCAAACCCGCATTTTTGCGCGTCCAGGGCTTCCCCAAGCCGACATCAAAACCGTCAAGATGTATATCCTAGGAAACTTCCTCTACAGTACGTCCGCCCTAAACCATTTGCCCCCCCCCCCCTTGAAGCTTTCCCGCCTATACTGACATTCCTCCTCTTCTCCTCCCAGTCGCCGTCCTCCTCATCAACGCCATCGCAGTCCTCTCCGAAGACCGCTTCCTCGCGCGCAGTACGTTCCCGTCTAATCCTACCTAGCAACATTGCCGTCCCGCGCCCTTACCCCTCCGGGAGAAAGAGACATGACAATAGCTAACCGCGACTTCCTTCCAGTCAACCTCTCCCCCTCCTCCTACGACCCGACCTTTGGCTCGAGCAACGACGCAAGCGTAAAGGCAAAGATCATCAACTTGATCGCCAGCGTACGGACACTGATGAGAAGTACGTGTCTACATCCCCAACATCCGTCTCTCGTTGTATGAGTACTTCCACGCAGAAACGCCCTTTACTGACGCTCTGCCACAGTACCCTTGATCGGAATCAACACCATTATCATTCTGTACGAACTCATCCTCGGATAAGGTGTCGTTAGGGTACAGGAGATGAGATAGAAAAATACAAGAAAAACGAAGGGGGCTGCTGCTCTTTAATGCATCGTATATGGCTTGAACTTTTCCACTTCCACGGCATGGCATCATGGTAACGAATCGGCGTTGAAGGATGGAGAGCGGATGGGGTTTTGGCTGTCAATGTCGCGTACGTATGTGTATCTTACCTGAAAATGTCCGGGTAACATTGCAAAGCCCGGCGAGTGTAATATCACAATCAGCAGAGGAGGATGCTTGCGTTGTTTCAAACCGAGTAGTAGAACTCGAGAGGGCCTTTCTGCCCTTACGTGCTTTGTACCGTCTTTTGTTGACCACACCTTGCGCTATCATACAGTCCGATGAAGTAGGTGCCAGGAGAAAGTAACTAACGCTCAAGATGCCTTCATCACAACATATCCTCTTTTGCATCATTAAGTGAGAAAAGTATTATCCAAGCAAACCACTCCATGCCTGGGTATCTGCGCATGCCGCCACCTCCTCAATCCCCTAAACGACCATGCGGCCCATGGATAAGATGCGCACCAAACGCTGGGCGCGTGGGTTGTACATCGTACAGGATCCTGCTCTTCACCCCTTTTTTTTACTGTATGTACTGTCAAATACCAAAATCTTCAGATGAATCGTTAGAACCTCATGCGCCACCTCATGACAGAAGATTACCGCTCTTCTTCCGGCCGAGGTTGAAACTGAATCTCTCCCTCAGTTCTTTGGGCTTCTCAGGTTGAGTCGGCACCCCCTCTGGAGGAGCATGCCCATTCTCAGATGACTGATGTGATTCAGCCTTGTCCTTATCTTTGCTGAGGAATCCGAAACTCTTCCTGCTCATTGATTTGCTTGCCCGGCTGGATCGGTTGAGGAAACTGCCTGAGCTTGACGACTCCTTCTTCTTGTCTCCTTCAGCCGATTGCATGCTGGCCTTGATTGCTCTGCGCATATCTTCTGCTTCTCGCGCATGAGCCGTTCTGGCCCTAGCCATACTCTCTCGGTGTTCCTTGTCTTTGAGCTTTTCCTGCTCTTTCTCAGCTTGTTTTCTGGCCTTGTCCGCTGCCTCCTGCTCCTTCTTCTCCCGCTTCTTGTCTTCTTTGGACTTGTCTGCCTTGGCGCCCGTGTTTGATCTGGCGAGGGTTGATGGAATAGGGGGGACAGCAGGAGTGGCCGGTGTATCTATCACAGGGGTATGAAGCTTCTCGGATGGCGGAACATCCACCTTGCCTGGGGCTGTCTGTGCATGTGCCAGACTGGGCAACGGCTCTCGTTCCTCAATGGGACTGACTGGCTGCGTAAACTGTTTCGAAAGTGGTGTCGTACCGTTTGGTTGGCCATTTTCATGAGCAACATTAGCGGCCTCGCTGGCAATTTTGACCTCTTCCAGACCCTCGGCCTCCATCTCAGCTTGTACCTTCTCAAAGGTGGTTTCTTGGTAGAAGAGGACATATGCGCATGCCATGCCAGGCTTATCCCCAAAGAAGTTCCGCACGAAATGTTTGTCAACCGGTTCCACCATCTCGTCATCGAACAGAACCCAACCCCGATCTTTCGTCTTGATCACTGATACGTAGTGGCCGTGATAGGCGTTTCCGCCAATATGAACAACAACAGCGTATAGTTCATAGAGTCGATCGGGATCTTCAGCGTCGTCGGTGGTGTTGAACATGCGTAGATGGTACGGGTAGACGACCCGATGGAAGAGCTTCTGCAGTCGACTGTAATCCTCGGTATACTTGAATCGTTTCAGGTGCAACGCGAGAACCTTTGGTAAACGCTTAATCTTCATCCGCTTCTCAGCCTCTTGCAGCCCACCACAATGGTCGCAGTGGAATTTGTTGCGCTCACACAACATCTCCTCGGCGGAAAATTTACGCAGGCAAGACGTGACTGATGAATGCTCCTCCAGGTCGATGGACAAGTCCAGGAACGTCTCATCTCTTTGCGAAGCTGTTTCGCAGGTCAAACATTTGGTTTCCGAGGTCAATACACCCTCAAAGATATCATGAACCCAGCCGGTTCCTGGTGATCCCACGCCATTCACTGGTCGGTTTATCAAACTAGTCGCGCCAAGAGCGTTCTCCACTGACTGGATAAGTCCGTCTTTGTTCTCGGCCTGTCGCTCTTGGATTCGTTTGGCATTCGCTTCCACGTTGGAGATGACATCGTTCAATACGAGACCGTAGAACTCGTGAGCATCCTGGTGCATTGAGTTCCGAAACATCTCGTTGTCTCGTTTGAAAATTTCCAGGAATCGCTGTGGACTCAACACGCCTGTCCTAGTATTGCTCTCGATAAGGGCCTGAAAGATGTCCTTGAGACCGGTGAAGGTGCATTCTTCCATGCCGTAAGCGGAGGGATTCTCTTGTGCCAGCTCGAGGATGGGGCCCTTGATCATGGCATGTTTCTTCTTGTACTCTGGCGAATCAGGCTTGTCCTCAGGTCGTATGCCCGGCGCTCCTGGGGGTGGCATTCCCGCCGTGATGGCCTGCCTGCGCTTCATTGATTCCGATGCACTCAGGCCTTTCTGTTTCGCTCCGGGCGTATTCGGGGGCTCTTTCGCGACTGGCGGTCGGATCGTCACATTCACCTTTGGTCGAGTTCCGTTCGGGGTATCGGTAGGTGATAGTGTGGGGTACTTGACGACGTGGTCCCGGAAGGATTCTGAATAGAACAATGCTTGAACAATCGAGTTGCAATAACTACAGACACGTCAGCAAATAAGAGACGATGTGGTGATGACAGCATGGCTTACCAAGTATTACCAAACTACCAGTTCAGTCAGCATTCGTTGTCTCGGGAAAGGCAGTCGCTAGGCCGGGTGTGGCTTCGAAAACTTACATTCTCCAGACCGAAGAACTTGTCAGTCCCGTCTTCCCTCAATGGACCAGCATTTTGCAGCATCTTTTCCAGAGGAGTGAGCTCCGGTGCTGGCTCCTCCTTGACCTTTTTGCTCGGGACATCTTTACTTGTTGGACTCGAGGTGGTCTGTGAAGGACGAGGTCTGTCAGCCTGAAGAACGCGCGAGCAGCAGCAACAGCAAAAGCACAGCAGAGAAGGAAGAGAATTTCAGAGCACGCAATGAGCAGAGCGTAGTCAAAGAAATGACGAGAGTAGAGGAAACGCACATTGCCCGCGCTCTTCAGTTTGTTGAAGAAACCAGCCATGTTGGCGACTTGGGGTCGTGGATTTGGCTTAAAGGGTGATGTCTGGGCGAGACAAGCTCACGGCGGCCGCGCAAATATGGCGAAATGTACCATGCGATGGACAATTGACGTCGTGATGAAGGATACACAGTGGAAAAGGTGCGGAGAGAGGTATTATCGTGTATCCGAGGAGATTCGAGAGATGCGCGCGATTGTCGCGCAGAGGAGTAGGGGTCGTTTCCCTCGGTGATTCGGCCGAAGATACGGGTGGTCTGTGGAAGCAGGGTGGGAAGAGAGAGGGACGAGAGGTGTCAGGGAAGATTGGATGCGGGCAACGGTGGTGGAAGCAGCATTTGCCAGGACGCAGACTCTCAAACCAGCCGTGTTGGCAGCAGAAAGAGGAGGAGTAGGATGATGATGATGAGGGACAATGTGGGAAGTGGATGAAGAAGAGGAAGGGAGGATTGGTAAGAGGCGTAGTCTGCGGTACCTAGCAGCTGGGTGGGTGAGAACAAGGTAAAAGACGGAGGAGCCCTGGGCGGGATTTGGACGTTAGACTTGGGGTCCTGGGGTTGATGGGCGTAAGTAACAAGGAGGACGGAGGCGAGGTTGTGGGTTGGAGAGCCTGGATTGGGCACGTAGTGGCAGGACGCGACAGCGACAGACAGACGGGCAGACGATGGGTGACAGGGCACGCTGCACCTCTCACTCTCAGCCAGTAGGGCAGGCAACAGGCCAGAGCCGTACCTTATGGATACTTAGCTAGTGTACTGCATTCGCAGGAGAGCTGAGTGACGGGAGTCTGCGAACTTGATTGCGAGCTAAGGTACGGAGGAGACCATGGACACACGGCGCCGGGAGCGACTACTGCAAGTGGTGGTACGCAAGTACATACGGAAAAGAAGGTGACTTTTGTTAATGGCTGACTGCGAGTGGTGGGGAGGACACCGAGGACGAGGGGGCCCCACCTGGACAACCCACAACCTGACGGTGTCAGTGGAGGGAAGGTGGAGGTCGGTGGAAGGAATCGAAGGGTTGCAGTGCACAGAAAGGGGGCTAGTTCGTTCTCGAGTGCAGGGCTAGACAGGCCAGACATGGGGTTTCCGACCAGGGGGTGGCATGGAGAGGCTGGAGCAAGTTTGGCGTCTTTTTGCTTCCCAGACGGAGGACTAAGTATTTTCTTCTTCTTCTTTTGGTTTTTCCTCTTGCTGGTGGTCAGTGGTGAGGTAGGTACGGGGTACTTTGTCACTTTTGCATAAGCGATTGGGGGAGAAGCGGAGGAATGAGGAGAAAAGTGACGAGGACGGATAAAAGGATGCCTCCAGAAGAAGACTTGTAAGTCCTTTTCTGACCTTACGGATGCACTACCTTACCTGGTAGGTAGGTACGAATACCTTACCATAACTACGTACCCACATACGTACCTTGGGTACTGATGGCGGGCAGCAATTGGAAGAGGTTGGAGACCCGTGATCCGACCGGGGCACGAAGACGAAGGTACGAAGGCTTCAAGGCAGAAAGGCAAGAAGAGAGGAAGGCAAGAAAGAGGCAGGACCACACCTCAGTCGCACATTACTCAAGATACGTACTGTTAGCCCTTGGTGGACTGCGAGTGGATCGCATATTCCTTAGGTAGGTGGACTTACGGATTGGCAGGTTGACACACGGTAAGGTAGACCCGACAAAACTGAGCCCACGGACGACGGACGGAGATAACGGCCGATATGACGCTATCTCTCTTCTTCTTCTTCTTCCCCTCTCTAAGGTGCACTGCTCTCACACCTGCCGGGCTCGGTTTCTGACCGTCGTCAAGCCCAGGTGAGAGACAGCGCGCAACCAACGTTGTCAATGAATCAAGGCTGAAGGTTAGGTGCGAAGAGGCGAGGAGGAAGGGCTGGGTGTTCCTGGCGACGCTTCCAAACAACGAGGCGAATAGCAGGTGGGAGGGGGGAACTGCCTGCCACTGCGACTGCAATGTGACTGGCGACACTAACACTTTACCCGATTGCGACCGACGGCTGTCTCTAGGTTGTCGGCTTCAGCATTCTAGGTACCTTAGGTACTTCCCTTGCAAATACGTACCGGCGATACCTATCCGTACGTACCTCCTCTTTTCAGTCTTCATCAACATCTGTATTCCATCACCTTCGTGAAACTGACTGCACTTTGTGTGTCAGACGACATGCTTCCTGGTCCAACTTGTCCCCAGCTGACTTCCACATCCGTCTTGTCTCTCTGGCAACTCGATAATGGCCCCGGAATGCTCCCCCTGGACTGAGACATGCGACGTACTGTTCGCCAGCCGCGTCTCTTCCCCTTAGCATGACCCGACCTGGACATGGTGGGATAGAGCAATGTTCTGCAGGACGCCAGCACGCATCATCTAACTACGGATTGGCCAGGCTTCCTCTCTCCCCCCGAGTAACTTTGGCATGGCATATACTTCGTACGCAAGACGATTACACCGCAGCCAAGCCAGCCTGGGCAAAAGACAAGCTCAGCCTCTTTCACACAACAGCATGCAGAACAACCCTTCCATAGCATGTTCCACCATAGGGCGAGGCATTCTTTGCTGCAAGAGCCTTTTTGCCCAGGCGGGAGCCATCCGCAAGCCTGAGCCTCCTCTCACTGCGGACTATCTATCTATTACGAGGTATAACGACTGTTATTGGTCCTCCTGCTCACGTACTGTATAGATGGATATTTCTGATAGCGTTGAAAGTACCTTTGAAGTGGTCCTTTCCATCCTTGCCCAGTTTCCACCAACTCGTCCGTCACGCCCAACCGCCTTGCTGACCAACACCAAGGCACGGAGCACTCAACAGCCTGCCATGTGAGCACCCTCGCTCTCCGCACTTTGACCCACTGGCGACCAGACACCAGGACGGCCAGGGCTATGTACGGCAAGGTCCCTGTCGATTCGATCACGGTTCGCCCAGCACCCAGCATCCTGCTTGTCGGGTTCTCTCTGGCGTACCTATCCGTACTCTCCACTGTACTTGTACAGAATACACCCAGCGCCCATCCGCCATCCAGCTTCCGGCCGAGTAAGTAGACAATGGGCAGGAAATGGGAATCAATACGACCGCCCGTGTATCGAGACGGTTCAAAACGATCCCTGTACCTCCACGCACCCTTTTGATGGAAATACGATACCTACATACATGAGCCCGGAATACTTCTCCGCTTACCTCACCCACCACTGTTCAACTCGCTGTGGGAACAACGCCACCAGCGGACTGATTATCTGAACTGTGAGACAAAAGGCCGCATCCTCACCCGACCCGGAAGAACCACCAGAGGAACCCCGTCGCCCTCGTCGTTACCTGTCCGCCACGCCTGCTACGCCCCGACACGACGGTCCGCTGGAACGCTACCCTTGGCTGGCCGTTGGGTCCTCTTTCCTGGTCTCGTCCGTTCTGCCTGTCCAGCTTTGTCTATTCGTAGCGCTCGCTATCGGCCTGACCCTCACCCTCACCTACGCAGTACACAGTAGACATCCTGCTTCCTTCATCTGTCTCGCCCGGCTGCTGTCCTAGGTTTCAAGATTGTTGATGGCACCCTCACGTACAACGCGCCCTTGATTGGGTCCCGATATTGACGTCCTCCAGCCTGGAGGCCTGCTGCTACATAATAGCTCCCGTTTTCGATCCAACCACCGCCGCTGGCGAGGATCTGCGCTCAACATGCCGTTTTGCTTAGACTTTGCACGTCAAGTTGTCAATAGATCACGACCCCTAATTCTGAACAACAGACGACCGCCCGTCACCATCGCCGACACGGCCTCAGCAACTCATTCGCTTTCTTGTATCCGAGCCCCTTTGGCGGCCTGCGGCACAGCAGCACCCGAGGTATACACGCTACGTGGGGGCCGGGAGTCGCTCGGCCTAGCTGCCAATAATGTCCAAACCAGACAGCTCCGAACACAGGCGCTTCGGGTACGAACATGGCTTGTCAGGCCCGACTATCCCTTCCCGGCATGTCTCCGAAGTCGTGTGGTCACGAAGAGTATCTGGAACTCTGCTGAACTATCCGTCCAAACACCCAAACATCCAGTCTCAAGGGTAACCGGGCAGCGCATTGCTAATTCAGTCATTGTTAGTCAGTCTCTTGCTTTCCACCCATCAAACCTAGCCGCCCTAGACCAACCGAAGCTTTGTTGCCCCTCAAACGCCGGTTGCTCAATCGGGGATGAGGGCGCTCTCCAAGGCCTTTTATTTGGTGGGAAAAAGCACCCGACGGCTTACACATCTACCCATAGTCTACAAACTACAACGCCTTAGCTGCCGACTTCAAGTCTGAATTTGTCCCCGCACCCCGGAAAAAGAGGCGTTCTTCCTGAGTCGTTGGTGTTGCAGACTGCCGTCTTCTCGACGATCGATGAGACGGACATCGTCCAGGACAGGCTTTCTGCAACCTCCTCTTGACACGGCCAGCAACCTTGGCCTGATGAACTGCCAGAGTCCCTGTAGCGTTTCTTTTTTTCTTTTCTTTTTTCGGCTCCTCGTTCCATGCTTCGAGGCCTTGCCGCAACAGCATGCGACTCGCACAGGAGCGGCTCGGTAGGTAACCCAGACATGACCCCTCTCTCTCTCTCACAGGTTGCGAGTTGCGAATTACACTCCAACGCAACGTAACCCGCCCTACCTGAAGATGGCAGATTCACAACAACGGGCGAGAACGAGCGCCAATGAACAGCTGGTTGACCCGTCATGCCAGGCCAGGGCCACAAACGACTACCTCAAAAAACCCTATGTACACATGCCTCTCCGCCGTGTTGGATCCCTTGGTGCGGTGCAGCCACCCCGAAAGACATTGTTGCATCGCGGTTGGTGTGAGAGGATCGACGGCTCGACGCTACTGGTCCGATTCCGTGTCTAGCTGGACGGGGGACGACGCCGTTGTCACCTTCATCCACGCTGCTGGACCCGAGCTCATTCGTCAACTCACCTCCCGTGCTTATTCGGTCCATCTTAAGACATGCCTCTCGCCTTTCCCCTCCGACACACGCCGAGTCTTTTCACAAACACAGCAGTGGAGCAGAGCTCTGTCGATCTGCTGCTGTTCGCTCCCCCTTGCTCCAGTATGTCCCTCCCACCAGGCATGGGGAACGCTATTGTACCTGGCCAGCATCTATGCGGGGGATATCCGCTCGACACCGACAGAATGCCCCATTAACGTTGCCAATCAGCATTACACCCACTCGCTTCTTCACTGCACCTTCGTCGCATCCATGTCCGATCGAAACCACTCCATCACGACCCATTCTGAACGCTCACTCCCAAACCCTCACCTCCTCAACAACTCCGCAGTCATAACAGGTATCATCCATGAGCGGACCCCAAGAGCCCCTCGTCACTTTTCGACGAAAAGCCCCCGAACGGAAAGCAACTTCGGGAGACATTGCATTGTTTATGGAAGGCTAGTGCGGCCGAGGGGAAAGGCATACGTTCAACGTCAGCGCCACTTAGCTATTGTGTCTTGAGCTATCTTCGTTGTGCCTCGCTCGTGGCGTACCTTGGCTTACTTGGCTTAATCCATCGGACATCTTTGGCCAACAGGCACTACCATTAGGTAGGGTGTCACAGCCAACCGATTCGCAGATGCCACCTCTAGAACCACCCGCGCTCCATCATCCACGATGTGCAGCACACTGGCGTTTTCTGGTAGGTCAGCGTCCTCCACGCGGTCCCGTACCGGCCCGATTCCCACGAACTTCTGGAAGACATGGACGTCATGCTCTGCATCCCTCGGTGCCATTTCCCCCACTGCCGCCCAAGCACTGTGAAATGACGAATTATTGCTCTTTACTCTTCGACTCAACGCTCTAAATTCTGCTTAGCAAGACTCGGGCAGTCTCGACTCTTCAGAGGCCGCGCACAGATAGTCAGGCTTCAGAAGTCTTATCCATCCAACTGCAGAGAGAACTTTACCGGTGCCGGCGCACGACTGCCGGAGCGTCCCCCGCGCCTAAGTTCGGACGGCTAAGTCGCTCTGCAGGTGGAGTGGTATCCCGCCCCGGCGTCGCCGGCGTCCGGGCCTGGCCTTTTTCTCGTTACTACGTTTTGCTGTTGGAACTAATGTTTTCTAGTGCCATGTATGACTATTCTGACAAGTCGGTCAGCATTATCACCTGGTGCACTGAGTTGACTGGTTTGACTGTGCTATTTCACATCGTGTGGGTTTGGCACCTTTTGACACGATGCTATCCTTCATATGACACGTTGAGACAAACCCAAACGTGAAGCTTAAACTTGAAGGCCAAAACCTAAGGCCACGTTGAGTCATTTCTTTCTTTTCGTTGTTGGAAAGATGAGGGTGCTAGCAAGACGGCATTCGTTCCGTTGTTGCCCAAGACAGGTGACGCAGTCCGGTCGTTGATAGTCGGCATTAGCTTTAGATGGGAGACCGAGGCTTGGGAGTAGTATTCTGATTTGTATTCAAGGTGTCGTTCAAATCGATAACATCTACGCTTCCCGTCTTTTGCTCTAGGGCCTTTCCCATTCCGACCCGGGTTGTCTTCTTCTACTTCTTCCTTTCCATCAGATTCCTCGCCCCCCCCCCCCCCCCCCCAATCATCCCCGTCCTCGTCATAGATCTCTCACAAGTTTAATGCCTGAAAGTTACATCACAGCTTTGCAGGCGCATTACAATACGGGCACGGTGTTTACATCTTGCCGTTAAAATCGGATCCCATGCAAGTTTGATCGTCTCCAAAATCAAGCCAGGTCAAGGGAAAAACAATCGCTTTTTATGCACGGACGTACCGGTGATGGAACGCCAAGTGACGCCGAGGAAAGAGAATTGCGATGAGGGCGAACCCAGATATGGGGAGAGAGCGGGAAAAGAATTCGGGGAAGAAAAAGGAAAAACAACTTGCGTGATATTTTCAACTTCCCCGGTGCTGCAATTCGATCTTTGAATATACGACTTTGACGGGGAGGTATTGATAAAAAACAGACAAAATTCATTGCGGAAAAGACTCTCTCATTGTTACAATAGTGTAAGAGCTAAGAGAACTCCCTCGAGAGATCCTCAGTGTTCATAGTATACTAGCTGGACAACCCAGGTTGCACTGGCCCAACCCTCCGTTCACCCAACCATCATGATATCTGCTGAATTACTTCTTCTCGGCGGGGGGAGCTGCTCCTCCGGTGGTGGGGAAGCCCATGAAGATCTTGAAGTAGTCCTGTTCACTCATGTTAGTCACTGTTCTCAACTCCCTTCAATAACATCATGACGGCCACTCACGTAGATCATCCACTGGAGGCCGGTCAGGGTACCAATCATGACGATACGGACAGGCAGACCGTTCCAGAGGCCAGAGAATCCAATGTCCTTGTAGATCCTGCCCATGGCCGCACCAAACGCCTCGCCCTGCGCGCGGTTCGCGTTGAGCTTGCTGACCATGACATCGGCCGGGTGGGAGACGATGGCGCAGAGGATACCTGCCAGGTAACCGCTGACAAACGACACGCCCGTCTGGGCGGCCTTGCTGTAGTCAGACTTTTGACCCGGGAGGCGGGCGTACATCATCTCGACAATGGTCTCGAAGGAGGCGAACTTCATCATGGTGTAGGGGATCTGTCGGCCCCAGAGCGGGTACAGGCCCTTGTAGAGGCCTCCCCACCCTTCCTTAGCCGTGACCTTGCTGATGCCGTCGAGAGTGCCCTTATAGGGGGACGGGATACCACCCTGCATGCGGACCTTGACAGCCTCAAAGGGGCAGAGAGCGATGTCGGCGAGGAATTCGGCGGAGGCTGAGGCGGAGAGGAAGAGAATCGTCTGGTACTTTTTGGCGTTGTCGGGGCCCGCGAGGTCGGCGTAGGTCTTGGGAGTTGCGTGTTAGTCACGAGGCTTCCTTCATCGGGCTGAGATGCGAGATTCGATGTGGATTTATATCTTCTTACCTTTTTGAAGTATTCGTAGAATCCGTACTTGCAAGCTCCCTGGGCGGAGTAGCCCCAGAAAGTCGGGCCCCAGCCGGTCATGATGCCGCGGAGACCCTCCTTTCGGAAGATCATTCCCCAAGCCTGGAAGTTTCCGCGGTACAGCTTCGAGTCGATTTGTCTTCTCACTTTGACTAGGTCCAGAGGAGTGACGGCGGTATGCGTCAAGCCCTAGCCTTTAGTGTTAGTCGAGCGGTTCTCATAAGTTTTCGTTGCGGCCCGGCGCCGGGCCCCGGCGCCGCTGTGGGGACCCCGGAGCGGAGACGAGGTCACCCATCATGGACAACAACGACGAGTCAAGGTCTAGGAAGGCAAGGGAAACTCACGCAGGCCATGAGGCCACCGACGGTGCACGCAGCATAGTACTTTCCAGAGTACAGCTCAATCTTGCCGCCAGCCGCAGACTGGGCCTTGGCGCTGGCCTTCTCAAACTCGGCCGTGGCCTCGGCGCTGAGCTGCTTCGCCTTGCCCTTGACGTCGTCAACGGTGGAGAATGCGCCATAGAACTCGGGGCGGGCCTGGTAGCGTGTAGGTTTCGCCATGGCCGTAGTGTCCGCTACCTTGCTAGGACGGCTGCCAAAAGGAGACGCAAAGCATCCCTTGAGGGTATCTTGTCTAGGGTAGAGGCACGACATGGTGGTCGAGACGCAATTCGTCTGGACCGGGAGGGTTGGATGATGTGGGATTTCTTCTGCAAGGATATCTGGCTAATGAAGTTAGTCGGGAGGTAAGGTGAAGGACGATCATACCCCTGCGATAAGCTCGAGAGACGGTGTGAGCGCGTAATTGATTTTGGCAATGGAAGCTCGAGCTCGAAGGAGACGGGCGACACCGGCAATGGGCGTATATGACACGATGTTGAAGAGAGTAGACAAAAGAAGTTGAAGACCTCTACTCACCAAAAGAGCGAGCTGAGAGGGGTTTCCAGCTCAAAGAACAGTGAGAGGAGAACAGGTGCAACGTCAACCGCGCGACACAAATGACCGTTTCCGGCGTATGAGTGACAGCACCTTGAGAGTCGAGAGCTGGTTACTTGTCGAGAATGCGGGAGCAGAGGGAGAGGAGAAGGTTGCGAGTGAAGTCGTCGCAAATACGCATACACAGGAAGAAGAAGAAGCCAGGACGAGAGAGAGGTCAGAAGCAGGTTTATTATCATCCGAATATAATTGGGGGAAAGGAGGCGCCGGCGCTGATGAGTGGATGGACAGGATAGCTCAGGAAGGAACGGGGCTCTAAGAGGAGGTAGGCAGTGATTGCCTCTAGAAGAAGGCCCAGGAGGTGAGAGAAGGAAGGGGTCGGTTCGGAGATTTCGGTCACGTCCATGTCGCGGGTACCTCGACCTCATCAATAGTTTGCTGTACAATGTCGCCTGGACTTGGGTAGAGCTTACGCGCCAGTGACCGACAGCTGCGGCGGAAGGTGTTGGGAGGGTATGGGTGACATCACACCTCAGAAGGGGAGGTCTCGACTCTGATGCAGAGCTGTGGGAGGTGCTGTACTGTGTACTACCTAGAGCAGGAGTAAGGTAGCTTGAGTGGGGCACCGGCATGCGACAAAATACGACGAGAGGGAAAGCTCCCGTGTTATCGCGAAATGGCCCGCGCTTATCCCCGGATTTTGCGGAGCTTCGCCGTGATTTCGCTGTTTCGTCTCCCGGCCGCATTTTCCAATACTCTTGTCCATCAATCATTCTCCAATCAGATTTTATATTCAAGGACAATTTACACCCTTTTGATCGCTCTTTTACCCTTGATTCTGCTTCATGTAGTCGGTGGTAAACGACGGAGAGAAGGAAATGGCGATACGTTGCAAACTGACCGTGACAGAGCCGATGGCCCAAATAGGAAATTGCTTTGAAACTACACTAAAGCATCCAGGCTGACCACGATCGTAAGAACTTCCGTCGAGGGATTTTAGAATGACTTTTTCATTCTCGATGCGCGCGACGAGAAAATTTCAGCGAGCAGATGACCGGAATCCTATGGGCCTCATTCTCGAAATGGTAGGTCTAATCTGGTATTCCTTGTTTCGACTTCGCGAGATATTCTACCAGCGGACTGATCCGTGATACTCAACCCGATCGCTCCCGTGGCTTTTGGTGACTCTTCAGCAGCAACACCCCGCTGTGGAACCCCCAAGGTCGGTGAAGGAACGGCGGCAGGCAGCTTCAGCGAAACCTTAACAATTTGCGGATGGATACCAGGCGCAAGTGGACCGTGTTGGGATCCCACCCCCCGACATGCAAATTCGCAATGGCGGGCAGCCGCCCCCGGCGCGCGCGTCTGTGAGCAAATCCGAGACACCGCCCGACTTTCAACTGTGGCGTTTTCCCGTACCTTACCGCCAAATCTTTCAGCCCTGTCGATGTCGACACCGCCCCTCCCTCCCTCTAAAGAACCCCGCGATAATTGATATCATTTCCAACGCAACTGCGCGAACGACCACCACCAACCACGATTAAACGATACCCACTCTGCCTCGGCGGTCGACTGTTATTGTGACAAGTGCTCACTCGAGGCCCGGAAAGTCCCTTCAATTCCCAACAATGGCGGCTTTGGCTTCCACTCCCGCCGCGGCGGCGTCTACGTCGCAAACCAGCGAAACCTCCAGTCCCTTCGTCTCAAAATGGTCTTCCCGTTATCGCGGTGTACGTGAACATCCCCTCGAACCAAGTCCCCCTTCTCCCACTTGTCCCTCAAACCACAGACCACGAAACCTTCTCAGCCAGTGACTAACTCCTGCCCTCCTCATCATCCAGGCCACAGTAGAAGACATCGACCCCCCCGCCGCCCTCTCCCTGACGCCGACCGACCCCATCTCCCACGCCCTCATCTCCGCCTTTGAGCGCGACTACACCCACCTGACCGTCGTCGACGCCCACCGCGCCCTCGTCGGCTATCTCGCCATCCCCCACCTCCAGGCCCTCCTCGACGCCGGCAAGGTTAAGCCCGAGGACCCCCTCTCCAAGGCCATGGTCCGCTTCCAGCGTAAGGGCCGCACCTACCGCGTCATCACCATGCAGACACCCCTCGAGGAGCTCGAGGCCTTCTTCGCCGGAGACGGCGTCGAGGCGAAGAAGAGCCACTTTGCTGTCATCACTGACGAGAAGCGGCGTTTCGTGCTCGGCGTTGCGACGGTGCAGGATCTCGAGGAGTTTGTCAAGAGGAGACCGGCGTGAGTGTGCGCTTGTCGAGGACGGATTTAAGAGTGAGAGGTCTGGGCCGAGCAGTGTTATACCCAGAGAACTGGGATGGCGACGATCATCCAACGGTCGTAATGAATCTATGGCACGACGAAACATGGTAGATGAGACGGTTGGCTGCATCAAGTCAGGCGTTGGTGGTTCGCATGTTGAAGCGGATGGAAGCATTGGGACAATGACTGGTACACAGGCAGACGATTCAACATTGCTCTCCCTTGTCATCACGTATATCTTTTTTACAAATGAGCATCCACGGAACAGGAGTTTTTCAGACGGGTTCAGTTGATATTCATGCTCTCAAAGTCTACTCTTCGCCGTGCTATCTATCATAGCCCAAGAGCATAACGGCGTTAGACGCCCTGCAAGTGCGTGTAGTAGTAGCCATGCTTCGTGTGTGGTAGAATCGGTCCCATAATCCAACCCCAATGCCAGAATTTCCCAGAAAACGCCGCGTGCGTCAAAATTAAGGAAGGTAGTCGTAAACAAGGCGGATCTCGACTCTCTTGCCGCCCTTCTGAACGAGGACGTTGCGAGTGTAGCGTCTCTCGCCCTCGACGGTCTGGAAGCCCCAGATCTGGGAAGCAGTCCAGCCGTTGTCGATGCTCTCGACGTGGCTGTAGAGGTGAGCCTTGCCATCGGGACCGGTGGCCTCGGCGTCGCCCTCGAGCCAGCCCTTCTTGAGGAACTCATCCTCAATCTCGGCGAGGGTCATCCAGCGGCTCTGGCCACGGACGCTGCCGAACATCCAGTCGGAATGCTCACGCCACTCATTGTCGACACAGCGCTTCTCTGTGGTGCCCTTGAGGCCGGCCGTGGCGAACTGGTCGATATCGAAGTGGGTGACGGGCTCAGTGCCGGTGCCGGGAGGGGAGGGAGGAGCGGTGTACTGCTTGACGTCGAGGGTGACAGTGGCGAGGCCGACAGCCTTGCGGGTCATCCAACCGATGCCCTGGAGGGCGAGAGCAGGCTCCGGAGAATCGGAGAGGGTCTTGTTCTATTGGCGTTGTCAGTTTTCTTTCCTTGCGCGCATCTCTGCTCCTTGGTGGTGCTAAGTATCCAGAATATGGGTGAACGTACCATGACCCACTTGCCGTTGAGGTCGGCGATCGTCTTTGTAGCAGGAGCAGCCATTGTGATGCGATGTGTTGCGTGGATGCGTTTGGAATGTGTTGCGACGAAAACTGGCCGAAGAAGTAATCGGTGTTTTGTGTCCTCAAGCTTTGGTGAGCTTCAACAAGTAGAGTAGGAGGTAAAGGTGTGATGGTGGCGGTGTTAAAGTACCTTGGGTCGGTGGTCGGGAGGGTTGCAACGGGAACAAAATGTCAACGGGCCCGCAGAGGTGAGATACGTAAATGTAGGTAGGCCCAGTTTGCAAAGGTGAAATGCCGTCAAGCCAAAGTCGTTACTCAAAGCAGGCACAAACTCTGTTTCAGGTAAGCCACCTTCTTCTTTTGTTCGCAAACTGGCGGTAGAATGAATTAGAAGATGGGAATGAACAAGCTGGGCCGAGCAACAAAGGTGACGTGGAATTTGACTCCAGATGGAAGGCGTCCAATCCGTCGCCGCCTTCTTATACGCCGCCTGGTCCGGTATCAGCTCTTTCCAGTCAGGTCAAGTCAGGAACAAGCTCACCAGGTGCCTACCGCGGGACCGAGTACCTACCTACCTAGTACATACGGATTGGAGTTGGAAGGTACCTACGGTGTAAGGTACCTCGATGCTTAGAAGACCGGCCGATTTCTCTGTCACCTGCGTGGGTACTTACCTTCATTACCTTATCCGTACCTTACCTTACCTTGGGCAAGCGGGGCGGGGAAGTATCCCTCCCCACACTGACACTGCCACTGCCACGGCTTTCACATGAAGAGAAGAAGCTCTCGCTCTCTCTCACTCTCACCTTCGCAATCGCTCAGCCAGCCCCGAATAAGGACAGCTCTCTATTATCACACGAACGTTCTGCGACCGCTCAGATGTCGGGGCCGAGGCTCGCGAGACAACCTCCACACCCTTACGTTTACCCCAGACCCTGCCAATCTATCTCGAAAAGGGATCGCGCGTGAGATCATGACCGCATACACACCCTTCTCTGCAGACTGCAACCTCCCACCCCCAGAACTCTACACTCCTGTCAGCAGTTTAATCCTCCTCTTAACTCCCCGAATCTGGGCATGCCAGCATACCACCTGGGCCTGCGCGAAACAAACGGCCAATGATAGCAACCAGACCGACACTCACAACCCCAATCTGGCCGCCTAGCCCGGTCTGCGTTGCGTCCATCTGGAGATAGTACGGGGAACGTAGCAATCCGAACAACCGTTCGTCATGACGACTACAACACTATCCTCGACGATGCTCGTTCCAGTCCCACGTGCACCCTGAGTGTCACTTCTCAAGTCCCCAATCAGGCAGCCAAGAAAGGACAAACCCAGAGGCGAATGGACGCCACAGCTTCTGAGGCTCGAGGCAGCGCTGAAGGGCAGAAGAAAAAGAAGAAAAAAAGACCCAAGGGGCCTTTTGCACGGTCTTCACGATGTAGGGCCGGCAAGGGTCATTACCTAAAGCAATCCATGGCGGGCATATGCATGACGGGTAAAGCAGACAGACGCAGGGACAGACAACAGCTCACAGGCGCACAATTCGTCTGAGAGCTTCGACACTACTTGACGCTTGTATCCGAACAGCAATGTCGCATACACCGACAGCTTCTCTCCCCTTCTACTCCGCCAATCTCTGCCAATGACACGACGCCAATCACGAACTCGGTCTCCCCAAACTCTCCATCCCGTCTTGGGCGATCAGGCGGAAGATGCCAACCCACGGCTTCGGCAGACTTTTGGTCACACTCGGCCTTTTCAGTCCGAAGCATGTGCGGGACGGACGCTTAGTATTGCCCGTGGTGGTGGATTGGGACGGGGCCAACCGAGCGAGCTGCATTCTTTTTCCAGCTCAGGCTCCCTCTCTCCGTTCGTGGGGTTCATCTCCATAAAACCTTCCACAAGTCTGGCTCAAGCCATCGTGTCAATCTCAGCATCTCAGAGCACTCAGCAGTGGACTCGGTTGTCGACTAGCTGGTACCACCTCTACCCGTCTCGGTTGCCTCATCGCACGACAGCATCCCGTCAGCGGCTCTCTGCATCAGCTTGGGAAACTGCAGACATTTATTTGACAACTCGCACAGTAGTGCCAGCCGACCAACGTCAACGTCGACGTCGACCAAGCTTGTCTCTGGCTCCTTGATCCTCGCTCCGGGTTTCTGAACCAGACCCTGAACCGACCATCGGGGAACGATGTGTTTTAGCATCCGTCACACAAGCGAGCGAATCGAAGCGCAATGAGAGGCATCCGAATAAAACTCGTCTATTCGACGAATCGTCTCGAGAATTTCCGGTGCCTGACTAGGATGACTCCTGCGTCAGAACTGGGTCCGGCCGATGAACGAAGCTTCAAGTCTTCGATTCTTCAAGATGGCAAGTGGCGCCGCAGCGATGAGGGAGACACCTCGTTGCGGCGGGGCCAAGCTCCAAAGAAGCCAGTCACGCAGGCAGGAGAATCCCAGCTCCCACGGGGCCAAGAGGTGGCCGTCCGCGACGTTCCCGCCCGCGGAAAACCACACGTGAGAGCTCTTTGCTGTTTCAAGAAGATGCCAGCAGGCAAACCCCTGCCTGTGACAGCTCAGGTACAGCTCCCTTTCTTTCATCATGCTTCAAGAATATGCGCGCTCCATTTATTTATTTATTTTGGCCTAATTTCGTCGTGGATTACTGCCTTCAAAAATGGTGCCAATATACATGGCCGGAGCTACGAAGAGTAATAAAAGGAAAAGGATATCTTGGTTATACAAATGCCCCGGCACTCCCCGGCACTCCCCGCCATCGGCTACTGAATGCTGCTCGCACGCAGTGGAGTTTCCAAACAAACGATTCGACTGATATCACGGCGCGCTCTCGCTGTCTCTCTCGCTTCCCCCTTCTCGGTTCCGCAACCCGCGCCCGCGCCTGCGCTGGTATCCTTCCCCGTTCTTCGATTCAGATGAGTCCAGGCCGAAAATCGTCATCCGCACGCCGTTTTATGCTTCTAATCCGTTTCCGTCCGTCCGTGGCCGTCACGGCCACCAGTTCATCGTCTTGTAGCTCTCAATCACCTCCTCGACCAATTCCTTGGTCAACTTGGGCTTTTCGTACTGGAAGCCGACAACCTGTTCTAAGCGGTTACCGTCCATGCTCAGGTCCGTATCTTTCAACAGCTCCTTCTCCATGAAGGGCGTAAGAGGTCCCGGCCGCGCAATGCCCGCCTTCTCGAGCAGTTCGGCCCATGGTCCCATGAGCTCGTCGTTGACGTCGTCGACGACGCTGTCCATGTTCAGGCGCGCAAATGTGCTGATGAGTTGTCCCTGAAATCCCGTTTCGATCTTGAAGATGTCGCCAATAATCTCGGACATGGTGCCTTGTGTGGTGATGCCCTTGTCGACAACGTTAAACGTGGGCACCTTGCCCATGGTCTTGACATCCCACTTGTCCTGGCCTTTGCTGTACCACGCCGTGATATCCCAAAGTGCTCGTACGGCATCTGTAATGTGTACCGTGTTCTGTCGCAGGCCCTTGTCCCACAGCCACTTCATTTCGCTCTCCAGGTATTGGTAGACACGGGCCATGCAAAGTGCCGTTGCGACCCATTGCGACGCGTACGGGCCGTAGACGTGTGCCAAACGCACAATGATGAGATTCAGTCTAGAGAAAGAGTGTCGTTGAGTCAGTTTGGAACGATACACGATAATGTGCCCCGCAAGGTAAAGGGAGCTCTGAGAACGCTTGGTGGCGACGCCTTGGATACGTACCCCTCAATTTTGGCCAACTCCTCCTCGGCCTGCAGCTTGTAGACCGCGATCTTGCTCCAAGGCTTCAACTTGTCGCCCTCTTTGCTTGGGGACGAGTCTGACTTGTAGACCATGCCGGTGCTGAGCTCGATGAAGGCCTTGACCTTGCGCTTGGCCGCCTCCTTGCCAACAGCAAGCGACAGGCCGAGAGAGCGCAACTTGTAGACCTCATCCTCTTGCGAATATCTCGTCTCGCCGCCGCAATTGAAGACGTAGTCCCACTGTTTGCCGTCGGCACGGTCGAATATCTTTGCTAGGGCTTCTGCAACAGGGCAAAGAAAAAGCAAGAAACGTTAGCCAAGAGCGACATGACAGTTGGTTATTTATCTGGGGTGTTGGGTCGGTTGGTAGCTTTGGAGACCCCAGAGACAGAGGGGGGAGGGGAGGGGCTACAGAGAAGAGAAGAGACGAGAAGAGGAAGAAGAGACATGAAGGAATGAGAGTTGGAGGGCGGTGAATGGGAAAGAAAAGGAGAAAACAAGTCATGTCGTCGTTTAGGTCTGGTGACTTACGTTCTCTGCTTGCATCGGCCTGCATGAATTTGCTGCCGGCGCAGGCGTCCTGGAATTCGGGAGCAAGCCATGCGAGTTGGGGCAAGGCCTTGTCGACAACGCGGACCTCTGATGCGAGGTCATTGTCGTGGATGTAGCGGGCCAGGAAGCGACCGATGTAGCCCAGCCCCCCGATGATCAGGACTGAGGGTTTCTCGGCCATGGTGAAGGGAAGGGGGAGGGGGGATTCGGTGGCAGAGGCGGTCGTCGAGTGGAAGTGCGTTTGTGTGCGGTGTTGTGTCGTCGGGAAGAAAAGGATATTACGAGCAGCGCAGGTTGACGAGTTTGGGGGCAGAGGGGTTCGAGGTCGTGGTTGTGGTGGTGGTGCACTGGGCGCTCAACGGCAAGGCGGGAGGAAAGGTACCTCTGACGGGCAGGGACGACAAGGACAGCGAGGGTAACGGACGGCGGGGTTGACGTCTGGTGTCCAGGTTCCCGTCGAGTTAGGGGTGAGTTGCCCTGGCCCCCTGGAACGAGAGTTGCAGCACCGGGATTGCGCGAGTTTAGTGTAAACCACGGTGCAGCGGGATGGATGCGGGCGAAGCTCGGCAGGGGGGCTTCGAGGGGGGGCGACGGTCCAACCGGGATAGTTTGTGGGAAGGACTTGGGGAGGGCGGCGAACGAAGATGGCAGACGGATGGCCTTGATTAGGCCCAAATTATGGATAGCAGGGCAGTCAATGTTATTGAGGTCGGGTGGCAGAGGCGGGGAGACTAGTCGGAGGGGTGTGAAGAGGAATAGAAAGAGGGAGGAGAGGAAGAATAAGAAGGAGAGAAGCGGACGAGGGGGGCAAGAGTAATAATGACAAAAAGGAGGTTGTAGGCTTAATGGTGGTGTGCGTGGGTGCGCCTATATATGTATATATGTGTTTGTGTAAGGTACGCAGTATGGTATGTTTGTGCGTCTAAAGCAGGGAAAGGAAAGGTATGGTAAGCTAGGTGTGCGTGTGTATGTGTTGTTCAAGTGTAAAAGATTCGAGTTGGTTGGTTACGTCTAATGATATCGAAAAGCACATAAGTCAAGGTAGCAGCAGCGTTGCGCACGTCGTGGAAAAAGACAAAATCGACGGGAAAAAAACTCTTGAGACGACACATGGTCCTTTCCCCTTTTCCTTCTTTTGTGTTCCCTCCCGTGCGAGTATAAGAATAATAAGGAGAAAATAGTCAAAAAAAAATTAGCGGAGATGCAGCAGCATAAAAAAAGAGACGAAACAGAGCAAAAACAAGCTCCAGTACGGAGGATCCTCCAATACAATGGTGCTGTCATTCAAAACGGGGGCTAGATGGATATTGGAGCGGGCCGTGGAAGTTGGAACGAATGGAGAGCGGGTCAAGGGACGAGGGGGGCACTGGGGGGGGCCTACCTACTACTGCACACATAGTATGAAGACTCGAAGAAAGTGGGAGGAAAAGAGGAGATTTGGAAATGACAATATCCCCAGGGACAGCACACACACGTACACGCACACACAAGTTACCTTAGCATACCAAAGCACTCACAGTCTCACTTGTTGTAATCGAGAGGGCTCTCGTTCATCAAGCTGCCGATGGATAGCCGGTGGAGCCTTTATGCCGCTTCAAACTTCACACTTACAGAGCTGAACCCTGCCAGGTGCTTTGGCTGCTGTTGCCTCTCTCACTTGAGTAGGTACCTACCTTAGGTAACTCGGGGACAACTCCTGCCACTTCCATGCTCTCCGCCAGCTTCAGGTCCAGGCAGGTCCAACGCCTAGTCCATTCTTTCCTTAACTTCTTGGTCTCCGTAAGGTACCTTGCTGGGGCTGTGTATTCAGTATTCACCAAGCAAGAACACATAACTTTGCTCCCATCAGCTCTTTCCTCCGGATTCCCGAGCCCCTGTCTGCTGACCTCACCACCAACATGCCACACCTTGCTTACCTAGGTACGTGCCTACCTGTTCTAAGTACCTATACTGCGTAAGCTAAGGTAGCTTTAGCTCGCAGCTGCTCTCATCGGTGTCTTCCCGCCATCATCTCAAGTTTCAATCTACGCAGCTCGCTGACATGTCCCATATTGTCCTGCCTGCCGTGCCAGCTCCGTCTGAGTCACTCCGTTGACACGCTAGCGATCCTTTGCCTTCTCCAAAGTCCAGAGAGCATCCTTTTCCAACACCCTGAACCCTGGCTGCGGCGTAATCCACCAAGAAACCAATCCCCGATCCAAAGGAACATGTTCTGGCGGCGGCTACTGCGCTCTACTTTAATCGATACAAGCACCTAGTATCCCTACATCCACAGTCAAACCCAAGTGCCGTGCTAGATTTTCAACCGAATGAAGACCTTTGGTACGGATAACGTGCCTCTACTATCTGAGAAGGGTCGCGATATCACTCTCACTAGGTAAGCCAGCGTTCCAAGGGGCGAAATACCACCGACCACTAACTAGATTGTACGACCAAAGCTCCGGTATCGCATGCTCATCTTCATCCGATATCGACCGTCTTCGCCAAGCTGCTTCTTCGCCATCCCCCCGCTCTCACTCGGTCACACACATAAACAATGCCATGGGGATTCGAGAGCCATGGGCTGGACACCAAGACGGTCTGCCGCTTGCCGCCTTGTCGCGAAATTTACAGTGCCCCGTGCTTGCTCAGAAACCCCATATCGTTGCAGCAGCAAGATATCCCCCGGTCCACTCCATGCCCGTGGCGTCCACCATCTGTTGAGCGACGACAAGCATCCTCTATCAATTATCGTCACAAGAGGGGAGGGGGGAGGTCAGCCACATTCATCAATGAACATTCGTACTGCTGGAAATCGAAATCCAGACAAGAAACTTGTGTCTGTCTGCTGCTCAGAGCCTTCAACCGGGCCTATCCCCGTCACCTCTTAGCCTAGTCGTCGTGATTGTCGTCACGCTTTCTTGCATCTATTGGCTCCGTCGAATCCCAAATACCCGGCAGAGACATGCGCGCAATGCGTCAGAGACAGAATACCTATACTCGCCAAAGAGAGACATCGGTGCCCTTATTTGGAAAAAAGGCCATGCAAGGTACGCGCTCACGGTGCCCTCGCACTGCAATCCTGCGCCCTAATTGCCTTCTATTGTCCAATAATGTCTCTTGACAGCCTCGGATTCTGTTGCGTTCCGACTCAGGTTTCTCCCAACACATGCCTGATATCGTGTCCAACCCTTCCCGTGCCACCGAGATCTTCGCCAAAAAGCAGGGAACAATCCATGCCCGATGGCAGCTTGTCGATTTCCCTCCCGCTATTCCCGGTCTTCCACCCACGCACTCACTTCAACACTCGCGGCTTGCCCTGCTTGCCGGCCGGCTTCTCCGTCTTTTCTTTTTATTGTCCGGCCCGGGCCAGGAACCACGGCTATCCACAGCTCATCCCCTAAAGTCAAGACAGTGATACAACAGATCTTGTCTCACCATCAGCCTCGATTTCGAGTAACACGCCCATCTCGTTGGAAACAAATTACAAAATGACCAATGCGATATGCAAAAAAAACAAACTTCTTATTGGCTCTCCTGTTCCTGTTGGCTACCTTGCGTCCCAAGCTTCCGGCTAGCGCCAGCGGCGCGAAGTGTCCATCCCATGGATCCCGCCCCGTTCCCGCTCAGGGGCCTTCCATGATGCTCTTCGCAGATGGGTGCTTCTTGCCTGGGCCATGCCGCCGTACTTCAACTTTAAAAGGGGCTACTAACCAGTGAACCGCACTCGCACCGGCGCTCCACGAGCGGGTTCGGGCTCGGGCTCAGCTTTCGGCCATTTGGCTTTTCGCGTTTCGCATCTCCCTGCATCCTGCATGCGGGGAGTCCTAGAGGAGATCTGCTGCATGTTCTAGAAATCTTGCGGGATCTGTTCTGCAACAGACGCATGCTTTCTTTTTCGGGCGAAAGTGAGTGCTAATCCATTTATCCAAATTACCAATCCTTATCTTGCCGCTTTTCACATCAGCTAGGCCCCTGAAGATCAACGAGGGCACGAGAGACATTGGCTGGCACCGTACTCACTTTCATGTGTTTCCCAAAATAATCGACTTTGGCATTTTGGTTGTGCGCCACCAAGGCACGAACACCAGCGTCGACGCCAGCGCCAGCGCCAACGCCAACGCCAACGACGTTGGAGCTAGGAACCCAGCCGCCCTCGGCGCCAGAGACAGAGCCAGAGCCAACTATTGATGTTGCAGGTCCGTCATCAAGCCAAGGGGGCTCCACAGCACCAACCCATGCAGCAACCGCCAACTCTGTCAGGTCTCTTCCTTAGCAAACCAAACCCCCGCCTTGAATGGACAGCTCCCGCGTCGGCGCGTTAACCGCCTAAGCTTCGACAGGCAACGTTGGGCATCATTCGCCCAGTGCGACACTCATGCTCTTCGTCATCAAACAAATCCTGACTGCGCCCCCGAAGCCTATCGAAAGGAGATGGGGAGCCCGGTGTTCGCTGAGTATCAAGGTCCGCGTATCTCACATCTTTAAACAGACCGAGCCGGACATACAGCGTGAATCCGACGATGCCAGTGTTACCGGGTTCGCTTTAGAGCTTACCTTTCAGCCAGGCACACTAGGTAGGTTACGGGGGTTTTGGCTGATCGGATCTGTTTGTGCAATTGCGTGTCCTACTTCTGAGAACGAGAACGAAAGTCAGACTCAGACTCAGAATGGGCAACGAAGTCTCTGTCAGCGCTGGCTCAATTTGATCCGAACATTTGTAGGACCCCTACTATCGGTCCTAACTTGACGCATAGTTTACGGTATGGGCAGTATTATGCAACCACGTTCCTGGCACACTTATGATCGCCGCGAGGTTGGAATTGCTTTTACTTCGGCAAGTCTCTGACTGGCTTCTGTGTAAAACGAATTCGGCTTCCAGGCTATTGAGTGGTGTTTCTCACGATTTCGGTCCACATTACGTTACACGATAATCGTCGAATCGATTCCCGGCCTGTCACTTTGCGGGCATAGCCAAGGGAACCTGTTGCGTCAAAGCAATTAGCCGCAACTAAGCTTACTGCATGGAGGCGAACCATACCGGTGTCATACTTGATCGCTTCACTCATAGTTACCTATCCGAAGGTTGTCTCTTGATCCTCGCGGAGCGCTTGAAAAGTGAGAGTATTGCTGAGGATCGAGGACTGCCAGAACTAGAGCAGGCTAGAAGATCTTGCCAGAAGCTTACATGAGTGGCTTGCCGTGTGAGCCTACCTACTTACTCTATTTGCACTCCTTGTCAAGTTCATCGACCTCATCTTGCCCATCCATTGGTCGAGTTAACAGACCGGCTTTAGGAGGGATCTTGCGAACAATTGCGTCCACTCGGTGCTGAGCTGTGATTTCAGCTGATGCCGACCAAGTCCCGCCCACGAAGCCGGTTCTCTTCTTTATGGCTGCTAGGGGGCCAGGGAGAAACCCTCACCTGTTGATTGAGGTCTTCGCATGAATACATGGCCATGATGACCTCCTACTTTCAACGTTGAAGATATCGAGCCTTTCCTTTCCCCCACGTCGTATATTGCAGAGGTTTATTTGCTCGTTTCCGGTTCAAACGTGTCCCCGAATTGTATTCCAGTGCGCGCGCTGCTATTAACCGTGATCAGATCTTCAGGCCAAAAAAAACGAGACTACACACGCCGAATCGGTGCTGGTGCCGCGCAACATGGACTGAAAATATGTCCAGAGTCTACAACGCATGTCTCTATGTAGAAGAAACCATATCCGAAAACCAAGGACTTGTATACTTGCGTATACCATAAAGAGGGCAAAGAGACGAAAAGTCTTGAAGCCGGTGTGATGGTCCATCCAAGCGCCACAGTGATACAGAGATCCAACAGAGCCTCGTCGAACGCAAATCGTGCCGAACATCGGAGACAAACTTCTCTCCCCCAAACCCATACACGTCAAAAACCGAACCAGGCAAAGGGACGCTACAGTGAGATGGATCACTCAAGGGCAAAGAGGTACACGTAATTTTGATTACAGCCATACCGTCTTTTTTCGCCTGTTTCGTTCTTGCTTCAGAAAAGAGTGGACGGGAGTGATGGGCTACAGCCCTGCTGCCGGAGCAAGAAAAAAAATGCATCCGCCAAGGGATCTAGAGATTCAAGACAAGAGATGTAGGCGCGCGCGATCGTCTCCTTTTTCTCCTTCACCGACGCCAACGACGCAAAACAGTGAAACTCGATCTTGGGGGATATTGGAAAGCCCGGCTTGGAAAATGCCAAGCCGTACAACCCGATCTCGACATCCGGCGCCACACCCGTGCTACTCTCTCATCTACCATCGACCACGATGCCCGCAATATCATGAGCGGGGTATCAATCGTAGCTCCAATTCCTAGGATACAGCCTTTGATGAGCTCAAGGAGAACCAGGCCGGGTTCACATCACTTCTGCATGCTCCCGATAATCTCCCTTTGCGCCGCGCGGTCCCTACCAGCCTCGCTAAGGCTGCCCACGCTCCGCAGGTCGCCGACGACGTCCTTGGCCTTGCCAAAGTAGACCTCCTGCAGCAGGTTACGCATCTTGAGCTCCATGTCCTCGACGAGCCGTCCCACGTTGGCAATGTGGCTCTCGTCGCCGTCGACGGGGAGCTCCTGCTCGACCTGCCGCGTCATGTTGCCGCTGAGGTCCATGTCGCCCAGGGCGTTCGTCGAGGTGGAGAGCGAGAGGATGACGGTCGAGGTGAGCTTGTACTGCGTCGTGCGGCCGCGCTCAATGGCCTCGAAGACGTGGATCGAGTCCCATACGCCCTCTGCGCTTCCGCCGGGGGTCGCGGCTGTGGTTGTGAGGTGTCTTGTCAGCTAAAAAAAAAAAAAAAAAAAAAAAGAGAAAAGAAAATAAGATCCAATTCCTGATCACAGGCAGAAACGCACATTTCTTCAAGAGAACCACGCCGGCGAATCCATCGTCCAGGTTCCAAAAGTATACGCTGCTCACACCACCCTCGTAGTACAGATCTCGGTACACGTCAAACGCCTCATTGGCCTTGACCTCCATCTTGCGGACCCTCTCGCTCGGGATCGCGCCTTCGCCGGCGCCCTCGCTACCGCCGGCACCGACGCCGCCAACGCCGCCCTCGTCCAGAGGCGGGTCGAACTGGTTGCTCCATGGGGAGCGGTAGCTGTCGCCGTCGCGGTTGTAGTCGCAGAGGAGGTAGTCGCGGCCCGTCTGCTTGCAGCGCTTAACGGTCAAGGGTTGATCGACGGACGAGAGAAGGTCCTCCGTCAGATCCGGTGCGAGGGAAATGATTGCATTCAGGTGGTCGGTCGTGTGTTTCGGGTTCAGGCGGCGGAGGAGGTCGCTAGACGGGGAGAACACGCGGCAGAGGTTAGAGATGATTTGCCTTGATGCATGACGTTGAGGGGGTCAGGGCCGCTGCGATCTTACAGAGCCGAGTCGAAGGGGTCGACGGAGGCCATGATGGGCTCTTTGTACGTGTGTCTATCGCTGGAAGAGGTTGTCTTTGAGCTTCTTCGGAGTCGTTGGCGATGAAAGGGTGGCGGTGTCGATTGGACTTGGATGGTCTTTGAGGTTGGGGTGTTAGCGGAAGGTCTGGCGGGGTAGACGGTCCTTAGCCCCTGGGTGTACTTCCCCAGGGCCCCACAGCCAGGGAGTTCTGGGCTGCACCTACCACCTCGGGCATGTTGAAGAGGCACGGAGCTACAAAAGGCACGTCATTGTTTGAGGTACCTCACACACCTACCTCTTCACCTAGCTGGACAAAGGGAGTGAGTTCTTGGAGCCATTGCTACCTCTCGAGTCAGCACAGCTCTCCACTGCATCTGGAGCTCTTGGAGCTCTCGGTGTTGAACGGCAATAATCACAGTGAGCCACCACATGAGACGTCTCTGGTCAATCGAGCAAGTCTCATCAATCATGACAATGGCTGATGCAGAGTAAAAGAGGATAAGGTAAACATTTGACCACAAACCATGTAAGCTCTAGGAAACTGCTCGCAAGACTCTGGTCTCCAAATTGGCCGCTCTGCTGGCCTTGTTCGCCTTTTGCGTCCCCTTTTGTTGGCGTCCTTCTGTCTGTCTCTTGAGAATACACCAAGACCAATTCCTTATGCCAACCTCACTCAGTTGCGAGATGAATCCCCCTCCCTTCGCCAACGCCTCGCGCGAAAAATAAAACTGCACTCCAGCCACACCCGAATAACCAGTCTTCTTCCTCGAGACTCGCCTTCAGCTGTCCAGGTCTCGCCCCGCCTGCCCAGACCTGTCCTCCCTCATCCCCTGCAACATGTCTCTTGGCATGTATTCCTCTCCTTATACTTGTCTTCAGGGTCGGTTTACGAACCCCAATCATATTGGAAATCGTCATAAGCAAAACAGCAGCACTTCCTAAGTCACCGCTCCGGTGTGTTGAATAAAGTGCCTGCTGGAATAAGTACATCGAGAAGTGAAGCTCGGCACCCCATCGTCGCGTTGGCGGTTTGTGAAATGACCCCTAAGTCAAGAGATCGATCGGTAATTTGGCAGTCACATAAAGGCCGATTGTTTAGCTGATTCCCACTCCGCAAACGACGCAGAGCAGCGGCTCAGTCCACACCTTCTCGCCTTCAGTGACGTTCTCTCGAAGATCCCTGATTTCAATCGTCGATGGGGTCATGTCCATCAAGATCCTCGCCTCGAACAAGCCCTCCCACGGCTTTGCGTCGGCGGAAGACGGCTTCTTCTTGAAGGATCTCACCTTGCGTGACGACGCCGCTGCCGACACCTCGGGTACGGTTGGTGTGGCAGGAGTTGTGGGTGGTTGCGAAACGTGCTCATCGACAACGGCAGGCGTTCCCTCGGTTACTGACTGCCCGTTGATCTCTTCTAGCGCATCGCTCGGCTTGGCATCGATTGTTTGCTTCACGTCGGCACCGCTCTCGGTAGGGCTGAGGGGTTCGTTTACACCGTCATCGAGCGGCTTTTCTTCCTTGACCTTGTCGCTCTCAGCGACCGACGCTGTTCCGTCTGTCGGGGGTTTCGCGGTGAAGTGGGGCTTGTCCTTGCCAAGTCGCTCGTATGTTCGCATCAGGGTTTCCTCTCGAAGACAGTGTTCGTGTAGCCACTTTCCGCATTCCTTGTTGGAGCACCCGACGAGGGTCTTATCCGGGTTGGCGGGCTGTCGGCATTTGCAGGTGCGTTCAACTGACTGCATGACGGGTTAGCGACAATCGCCTGCTCTAGGCTTCGGGGGTATTTATGCATACCGAGAGCTGCTGGGTGCGACAGTCAAAGGCCTGACGCCAATAGAGGGCCTCCTGAATCTCGTCGTCGTTCTCTTCAATCCATTGCTTGACGGTGGCGGGCAATGTCACACTAACGACGTTGATGATGTCCACTACTTCGCGTCAGTACTGAGACGACTGTCTGGAGAAACATGAAACCTACTGTGGTTGGAAGCAATCAGCTCGTTGTGGCCGTGGTACGGCTGACGACCTCCCGTGTATCTCTTTCCTTCCATCGTGCCCTCCGGCAGCTCCTCCGGCCAGTACATCCAGTATATGCGCGCATAGACGTGGTGTTCATCACTAGCGCGGATCTCCAGAATGCGCGCTACCCAGTCGTCTTCGGACTTGGACCGCTTCAGGACCTTCTCAGGCTCGTTGGCATCTGTCGAGCCTTCCGCTGCGGCCTTTTGGCGTTGGACTGTCTGGTCGTTTGCGACGTAGATAAAGCCCTCACTGAAATACTTCGTCCCGTTTACTACCGCCCGTCACTGTTAGTGCAAGGCCATCGTAGATGGACTATCGCTGAGCAACTTACAGACGAAGCTATTGTATCGTGTCATCTCCAACCACTTCTTCTGCGGATGCACATGGTATTCCAAGTCCAGAACATCGTTAGCGCTCTTGCCGTTGAAGTCGCCGGAAGGGGAGAAGGGAGAGAGTTGCTTGGAGCTCTTCTTCCCATCTTCCTCTTCTTGCTCTGGTTTCCTCCTCTTCTTGGATTTCTTCTGTGCCTTGATGTCGGGTTCGGCGTAGGTGATGCTGAAGGGGCATTCGGCCTTGTTTTCCTCGACCTCGGCGCGAGGGCGCTTGCGCGAGGTGGACATAATTGGTGTAGTAGGAGGTTCGGAGTCGCAAACGCAAATACGGTGAAGTTATCGCAGGTATGAGAGTGATCGGAGTGATGCGATCTCGATTGATAGTGTCCGAGACGAATGACGTTGGTGCAAAGAGCTCGCTGGGATGTCGCGACCGAAGGGAAGGAGCACGGGGTGGCTGGAAGACGAATGGGTCGCCCAAAGGACCGGGGGGAGGTAGTATGAAGCTGTATGGCAAGCGCGCGGTCCTAGATGGGCGCTCTTTATTGACTTTGTCAAGTGTGCAAATACTCTGGCAAGCCTGAAGATGGTCCAGGCCGAATATCGACGACCAATGATGGCCACGATGCGCAAAATTGGGAAAATCGCGGGTTGAGGATCTGGCAATTCCGGGACAAGGAGCGGAGCGCGTTCTTGCTACCCAGCGAAAAAAAGGTGGCGCAGGATGACTATTCTGCTGGGTCACGTGAGCGCGGCGTTCCTCCGACCAAACGTCCACTGCCACCTAGAGGACGGACCAGCAACCACGATGCGGACAGCAGGTGTGCGGCGTGCGGCGTGCCACAGATGGACCAGGCGTGTCACGTAAGCACAGCAGACAACAGGAGCTAGAACCATCCACGCCTACCAAAATCCTGGTCTGCCTCCAAGGTTCCCACAACAAGCGCCGACACGTATTTCTCCATTACCTGATTGGCTACGTACCGGTCTCGTCGCTTTACCATGACCTCTTACACCTGTAGTCTTCGTGTCTCATGCCATATGCCGTTCTTCTGATATAAATGAGCTGGATGATTGGTTTCAAAAGAATACCAGTTTCATCATCATCATTCAAATCAATAGTCAGTTGCTTTTCCCCAGTATTCTGACGTAAATATGAACAGAAGAGTGTGGGGATCAAAGAGCAACAAAGAAGATAGGGGATACGACGGAGGCGGCGAGCATGTTGGGGGCGATGGAGACGACAACAGAAACAACGACAAAGTCGACTGTTCATTACTCGGCGCTTTTGAGTAAAACATACAATATCGCTAACTTGATTTACCTACGCCGTTGCTATGCAGATATGTTCGGTGATGGGGGCTCAGTTTCCCCTGGTCCGGTTATGCTCGTGTTCGACTTCTTCCTCCTCATCGTCATAGGCACTGAGAATCGGACGATCGTCGCTGTCCTCTGTCTCGCTGCCGGTTTCAGCCTGTAGACTCTTGAATCCCTCAATAGTCTCTGCGAGTTTCTGGCCCTCCCGCTTGCCACGCTCCACGTTCACGCTCCAGATGAGAGGCGCCGGAAGCCCAACCAATGCCGCCAAGAACCAAAACGCCGGCCGGATGTCACCAGATTGATCAATGATGGCTCCGACAATCGCAGGCCCAAAAACACTCGAACCTTTGTCGGATGCAGCGTATAGAGCGTAAAAGGCAGCTTCGCTTCCCTCGGGGATCAACTCGCCGTACAGCGATCTGCAATATGAACTCAAGCCTCCCAACACCAGTCCGTACACGGCAGCTAGGGGATACATTTCCCACGGTTGCTGCAGTCCGATCACGCCCCATCTCTGCACAATCGGCAAATATCCGAGAAGTCCGTAGATCGGAATGAGCTCGAAGAGACCGATACAGACAAGGATTGTCTGATGTGGCTTCAAGTGGAACTTGCGTGAGATGAAAGCCCAGCTGAAGGCACCGATAACACCAGCTATAGTGGAGATCACATTGATCATACCCAAAGCCCAAGGCTTCATGTGGAGTTGCGTTTTGGCGAACAATATGGCCGTGGAAGATGTAGTTGCAATCGCATCACTGACCAAAAACCATGCGCATAGAAACAGAACGATGTCTCGTAGGCGACGAGCAAGCCGGACAGTGTTGAATAACGATTTCCAGGCCATAGCCACATAAGTTGGCCAAGCTCGGATTCCTTTGCCCGACATGATAGGCATTGGTGGACCTGGCCGAGGGCGGAGCCACATGGCAGCAGGGATCGTGAAGACTGCCTGTAAGATGGTCAGTAACGGTGGATAATGCGTCCAGGCGACGGGGATGAGATGGAGAGAGAGAGCCCGTCACATACCCACCAAAGACCGCAAAAAGACAATGCAACCCTTTGCGACCAGGTAGTGTTTTTCAGTGCAATCACTATGGCAATGGCGACACACTGTACGAATAGGCCGGCAATGTAGCCAATGCCAATGCCCTTGGCGGAAATCTGAGTGGACAGCTGGAGCTCGACGGAGGTGAGCTCCTCGTGAGTAGCTTTCCGAACCAACGGGTAGCCTCCGTTTCCGTTTCCATGCCCACCGAGTAAGGGCGAATGTTGGTCCTCAACCTCGGCACTGGCGGGATCTTCGTCAACGTGGGAACCATCGAGCGGTCGCGATTCCAGGTCCGAATGTCCCAAGTCGGGAGTGTGAACAGTCTCGGAAGCAATCACTTCCGGATGATGCCGGACCAAGAGCGGCAGGAATGAGTTGAGGAGCACGAATGAGGCGCCAAAACATGTGTTCGAAACGATAGCCAGCAGAGCACCCAAGAGATAGGTGGTTTTGTTGACAAAGATATAGGCCATGACGGAGAAACTTCCAACCCAGGCGAAGGTGAGCAAAAGCTTCTTTCTCGAGTTGCCGTGATCTGCGGCACTGCTGACGCTCACGACAAGGAGAACCTGCAGCAGGACGCTTATGGAGAAGGTGTACATGGCGAAACTCGCCGTGTTGATCTCGATACCCAAAGGATATACGACGCATTGTCCATCAGTTTTGTTTTTCGAGTCGCTCGTACCACACGGGGTCGTTCGATCAGACAATAGGACGCCATTTTCGCGGGCGAGGGTCTCGAGGAGGATCGGGATGAAGGAACCTAGGCATCGTGTGGTGTCAGCGCAACGAGTTCGGGGCGGGGTGCACGGCAATGCTGTGGCTCCAGCATCTCGAGCTGTCCAGGCTCCACAGCTTGATCACTGTCTCGCGACGAATGTCACTGCTCGAAGACGGAGTGGCAGACTGCGATAACTCACCGATAGCTATTCTCAGTCAGCGCATGCACACACATCCAGATCCATGGGCTGGAAACTTACCACATATGACATAGGTTTCGGCAGCAAAGGCGTATGCATACCAACCAGACAGCTCCTTTTGGCTCGTGGGCCGAGTGTCTTCGCCTTTGTAACGGCCTGGGCCGTGAAGGAAACCATCACTACTGCTGCCGCTCATTCTGTCAAAGTCGGAATCTGTATCGGAACGCTCGTCATCGGCCTCGAAGTCGGAGGTGAAGGAGCGAAAAGACCGTTTTGACAAAGTTGAAAGACGCGACCATAAGCGTGGTGCAGGTGGTGGTCGAGCGTGTTGCTCTTGTCTTGGAACCATGGCGGCTGACACGGGTAGGCCGCAGGTGTGGGCGCAGCTTTACTGGACGGGCAAGGTCGGACAGCTGACTTCTGTGCCTGTGCGGGCCTGTCACCTTGTCTCACCGGACGGATGCACTCCGGGCACAGCACGCAACCAGAACAAGGTCCAGATGGCCCAGAACTGGTCAGAGCTGGAGAAATGTCTCTTTCTCGTCTCTTCCGTCTCTTGTAACTTGCAGCTGCCTTGAGTTTAGGCTGCACTGCTGCAGAACGACCCGCGGGAACCTGCCAACCTCTGTTGAGCACTTCACTTTGGACGGGACAAAGCACCTTCACCAAGGAAGTTGACTTACCAACCAGGCAGGTAGGTAATGCAGTCAGATAATGCGACGACGGAATTCCAGCGCCAATGCGGATTGCGGGTGCACATGCGGGTGCGGTTCGGGCAAGGCACCTAGCACTGAAGCGTCGTACTCGTCGCAAGTGCTAGGCACCTCGCCAAAGTGAGAGCCGAGTTGATGACGGGCTTGGATTCGGACCCCGCTGATGCTGCAGCTCAGTCGAACCACTCGGTGATTTTCCACTTTCCTGTTACTGTTGGGCTGTGGTAGCAGCCTACCCAATCTGTTTTCCGAGGGCTCGTCAATGGAGTATTCGCTTGCGAGGGCCTGCCGATTCCGAATAAAGGATGCCGGCTGTAATGGACCCGAGAAAAGAGGCGACTTGTGAGATGCGGCTATGCGCGCTGTTCAAAAGTGACCGCTATGCGTCAGTCCGAATACGCCGTGTTTGCGAATTGCGAGGTCGGTCTTTGGTCCGCGGGGACAGCGACATGGGGCCACAGCGGATTCTATCAGTCAATACCAGGACAGATGATGGAAAGACGAGATAGAACTGGAAAAGAAAGTAGAACCAAAAACGGACGGGGAAAATGAGGCGAGGCAGGTTGATGTGTCGTCAGGTTTGCGAGATCCGGCTGTGGGCCGGCGTGGTTGGTTATATGGCGTCGCAAAAGTCGTCGAAAGCAGGCCGGGCCAGAGCAGAGAGGCAAGGACAGGGACATCCAGGGTGACAGTGTCAATCCATGGTCTCTCCCGGCCTCTAGCTCCATGTCTACGGAGTACTTGGTCGCTCTCTGCCCTTTTGCCTGTCTTCTGCGCCGCGGCTCCTTTGCCGGAGCCGTTCTAAGCTGAGCCAAGGCCACCAAAGGCCCGCCGTCCGCCGTTCACCACATCGCATCTCCCCTCTCAACCCTCCTCCGCCCAACCGCTCTCCTCCCTGTACCTCTGTAATGTGTGTAAGGGAGTGACAAAAGTCTTCTCCAAATACCCCAGTCGCGACGAAAACCGTTGCCCAATCTCGCAAGCGCTGCGACAACAAACATGGATGCATCCAACTAGATCATCGCCGATGGGACGGTGTTCCTTCCTAGCGCCGCTGCCACGCTTGAAGCATATCGCGCTATGAGGCAATGGACTCCATTTATCGTGAGAGGATGCGCGTTGAACGACATGCGTTGTGAGACGAACTAGGTTATTCATTCGTCCGATATTCCATGGCCGGCATGCGTCGATGGATATGCGCTGCATCCGCCTTTGGGATTGGGCATTGATCGTGCACCACAAATTCCCCATCTCCAACCACCATGGCCATTGGCACTTTGCGTTGCCTACACCGCAAGAGGCTGAACCCCTCTGCATTGGTGAATTCTTCAACGGCCTCCCCGGCTCCCTTGTAGTTTCTCTTGTTCGGCCTCATAGGGATACAAGCCCTCCCTGGTCGACATGAATCAGCGTCTCAACCCCACCGGGTTCTTTGGAAACTCCGAGTATGATAGACTTAATGAAATCGAGACCTTGGAAAGCCGAAATATCAGTACAGATCTGTCAACTGTACCTCACCGGGTTAGGTTCACCAAGTCTCCAGGGGTTTGCGTTTCCTTGGCTAGAGCCGTGCCGTCTTGGGAGTGGTTGGTTTTTCAGTTGGGTAAAAACCATCCCAGGTCAATTTTAGCTCGTATGCGGCGTTCCTTGGATGTCGATACTGTACAAACTACAAGGCTCCGTTCAATGAACTTTCGCACTCGACCACGCTCCTCTAACACTAGTTTATCTCATGACAAAATGCAGCTACTGTGTGTGTTGCAACCCAATTCTCGTCGCAGCACTGCGGCGAGGCTTTACGGCGATCCAAGCTGGACTGGGGCTTGCGGGGGCGGGCATTCTGCAAGTGCCCGAGCGATCTGCGGTTCCTCTTCGCGCCAGTGAGCATGTCTGCCCACCACATTTCAAGACCCGTTGGACCCTGAGCGACGATCACCGGCACGTAAATCAAGTCGGCGCAGACGAAAATTGCAAAGCGCGGGCATGATGCGCTAGCATCGACATGGTCGATGTTGTCAGTCGACAGTATTTGGCAACCAGAATCCGGGTAGTAGCTGAGTAGTATCAATGGCAATGCCAAAATGTGCGTACTGGGAATTCTTGTCATATCTCGAAAACGCAGGCGGATGGCTGTCTGGACGCTGCATTCCGCCAAAGTTCACCGCTTCAGTTTAAGGTTCCGCGGCGATGGGCCCCGACGCGGAGGACCCATGGAATCCACTGTCTGCAGCAGACATCTGTCCTGTGACTGGGTGAAACATGGACCTGGAGCTCCGGTTGCGACACTCGATACTTTGATGAGGCGAAGCTCCAACGGAGATGTGAAGTTGAAGGTTGATGTATGGCTTGGAAAGGTGTTTGGAAAAACGACTTGATTTTGACTACCTTACTCCGTAGCTTGCATACCTACATGTTGAAGCGGTTGAGTGATTGGGCACAGACCCGGCATACCCTGCCGAGTTTCTGCCGATTTAGACTGCACCGCCCCCTAGTCGTGTCATGTCGATTATATGTGATGTAGTTAGCGATGCTCATCATCCCAGGTGGCACGGTGGCGGAGTGGTTAACGCGGTAGACTCGAAATCTACTTCCTTCGGGAGCGTCTGTTCGAATCAGGCCCGTGTCGCATTATATTTTTTTCTCTCGTTCAGAGACCCGAATTGCCCTTACCTCTCTTCTTCTATGTCGTTTGTTTTCCCCACACGATCATCGATTGATTTCCATGTTGTCTCCGGTAATGCTCATGCTGGAAGCAAGGTGGCAATGTGCATGTAACTTTTTAGGCTCAAGCTTGTCCATCCGGACGTGCGTCCTATCAATGAGAGAGAAAGCTATGGAATTATTAAAACTCAACAATATTGGAAACTTTTAGGACTCTTGTTGCACTCGGTCTGTTGCTGTTGTCTGTATAAATAGACCTCAAAAAGCCTTGTCTCGGCCATCAACCTGGTGTCGTCTTCGGGAATCAGTTGGAGCTAACATGCTTTCTAACTAGATAGAGCCTATGGACTTGCAATATAGCTGCAGTTTCATGGTCTTCTGCTATGTCTGCGTGGGATGCCACTGCCCAGGGAGAAGACGTTGATCTGAGTAGAATCGCTGTATGACTAACAGGTAAATATGGCAATTCGAGTGTGCAGCGCAGGGCAGACGGAGAAGCAGAAGTACGGCAGCGCTGCCATATAGGAGGCCCACTATAAATAAAAGAAGACGCATCGTTATAAGACCCGAGGCTAAGCGGTTAGCAGCAACACTCGCGCGACTGGAGTGGCATGTCGTCTACAATGGACGCAGTCTCTGAAGAGAATTGAGAGATATACTGCTTGTCTATCGCAGCTGAGGATAGATCCTCGCGGTAGATCAGCCTCTTCCAATACACTGAGTTAGTTCTTCGCCGGTTTCGGCCCACGATTCTAGTCGTGAGTACAGCGGAGGCTCAAAAGTATCTATACAGTACACAGTGCATGGCGATACCTACTTCCGTCTTCAACGAACGCGTCGTCGACCTTCATCGAGGGCTCATATTTCGCCACGAGCATCACCGCTGTGGTTTGCGAAACAAAAGTGTTGGTTGTGCCAGCGCCTTGCATCCGCGCGGAACCCGCGCCCGCCAAAAATTTGATCGATGCATTGAGATGCATGAGATAGAACAACGCGATGGGAGCAATTACAGTACGCTTTTGCCAAGGGAAATAATAATGCCAGTGGCAGGATATCATTTAAAAAGTCGAGACAAAGTCTCGACACGAAATAAATCTTACGAAATGGGGGATATCGTGAAGGGTATGCCAAAAACAAACTTCCAGCCCAGGTCCTACCAGCATCCGTCGCAACACATCAACACCCATAATTACCATCCTTTTCCTTTTCCAACAGACGAGTCTTTTCCTTTTTACTTCTTGTGGAAGGGGGCGAGGATCTTGGCCTTGAGCTTGTCGGCGACGCTGACGCCCGAGTGGCCGTCGGCACGAGCCTGCGCAGCGGCCTTCTTCTCATGATCAATGTCCTTGTGGGCGGCCGACTTCTCCGTCTCGACGGCGTTGCCCGCGCCGCCCCGGCCGACGTGGTAGTCCTGGCCCTCCATGGAGGGACGGTAGGCCTCCTCGGGGACGAGGTCCTTGTCGGAGCGCAGAGCGGGCTCCTTCTTGGCGTCGCCAATGTTACCGGCACCTGGATGGCAGGGCGCAAACAGTCAGCCTACAAAGCATGGTGCGTTTGACTATGATGTGATTGCAACAGCTGAAGACATCGTGGGGTGGAGAGTGAGCATGGTTAGGGGCGGGGCATCGGCCAAGTGGGCGATTGCGCCGATGCCGGTTGGCGGGCTGGGTGATAAGGCGATGCGTTGGGCGCACTCGTCCCGCGTCAAGACTCACCTCCACGACCTGCGCTGAATGCGCCAGTTCCCTGAGACCCCTCGGGGCCTGTTCTCACGACCTCGCCGTCGACGTACTGGGTGTCGTCAACGGCCATGTTTCCGGCGCCACCTCTTCCGTGAGATACTTCGGCAGTCATCGTGTTCGAGTGCAAGGTATGGATGTAGGGGGTTTGGTTCGTGAGCTATGGTGAGTGAGTTCGTTGTTGGATGAGTTCAGTGAGAATGTCTTTCGGGGGGAAACAACGTGGGTGCGCAACTTTATTTGAGTAACTTTGCAAGATGGGACGAGAGAATAACAAATCGAGACCAGGTACGTCAGCGATATTATATATAGATAAGGCACCTGTTCCTGGCAGCTCTCTACCGTACATCACATCATATGGTAAGGTGAGATAAGTGAAGTACTCCGTACTTATCAGTGAGTGTGAGTGAGCTCCTAGTAGGGATACCTCCCCGCCCCCCAAAGCTAAGGTTATCTCTCTGACAGAAGACAACCCATCCACGAACCTGGGAAGCAGCTCATCAAGCCTGCAACTGAATGCGGGATGTCTAGTGTCTTGGGGGCTACTGGGCGTGGGGATTCCAGGTAGGCGATACTCCTGGTGAGACAAGGTTTCCTCCATCTCTCTTCGAGAAGCACTTGCACATGCTTGAGAACTGGGACCCCCCCCCCCTGCCTCCACGGCACGACGGTACTTCTACACACATGGCATACTGGGACAAGCCAACCAACGGCTCGATGAGACGATCGGCGAATGACAGCAGCCTCTGCTCTGATAAAAACTTTTGGTTTACGTACCTGGATTTCGTGAGAGCTCTGGGAACATTACGCATCGGCATCAGCCCAGCGCTAGCCCCCAGTGGGCGCCGCCATCGGCACCCATTCCTGTTTCTTTGGGCCCATTTTGCGCGACCAGCTCAGAAATTGGATTTAGCATGCGTCGTTGTCACTCATGGACTTCACGTTGTGCTGGTATTGCGCTCATCGTCGGCGCTATCTAATCATCAGTCACCTCATTTTCTCGGAAGAGCAGTCTGCAGGCTTGAGCGGTTTGTTATTGAGAGCTAAACCTTCTCATCATAACCCCGGTCCTTGTCTAGACATTTGATGTTCGGTGGATGTCGTCATCGCCCCTCACCTGGTTATTTGTAGTGTTGCCGGTACAGCTAGTCGCGCAAGTTGACCAGCACGAAGGTAATGGAATTATTGACGAAACGTTTCAACTCACCATTTAGTCCATTCGCATTCAGACGTCAACTCGGATGAGTGGCATACAAGGTTTGATAGTTCATTAGAGCGACATATTCGCATGAGTGGCACTGGGCCCGGATCAAATTGCTCCTTGCGCGCTCAGGATATCCATAAGCTAGAGTCGAGTCGATTTGACCCTGCGATTCGCTGAAGCCATTCGTTCAACTGCCTGCTGAGGCGCTAGAAGGAAATGGATGCGACTTTTCCAGGATAAGCAGAAAACTTAAACTCAAGGAAGTGATTGTCTTCGAAATGAGTTCTAAAAAGTCGAGTTTCCAATACTGGCATCTTCACTACAACTATCCTCACTGCCCCCCTTGCTGATTTAGCTGTCACTGTAATTGTCCTCTCTGACTCGCTCTCTCCGTATATTCTCCATCGAATATGTTTCTAGAGACCCCGGAAAGTGGTAATAACGAAGCTGTCAGCAATGAGAAAGAGGATCTGTTGCGCCATGCCCGGTGCCAGCGTCGCTGGAAGAGGCGGCGGCATCATAGCCGACACATCGCAGAGTTGGTAAAGTTCAAGATCTCCACTCAAGGCTCGCTGGTAATGGCCCTCGATCATGTTCATTTGGTTATATTGGGGCAAATAATGAATCGAAAGGTGACATGGTCTCTAAATGCTTCGAGGTAGGAGAACGGCGGTCCAAAGCCAGCTTTCTAGAAACTCGAGCAATCAAAAGCGCCTATGTTCTGGCTACCATGATTCAATCACTGAGCTTATGAAACGTATTTTCATCTTACTTCAAATCTATGCCACAGCTTACCCGCCCCCTCTTCTCGGAGAAAGACACTACAGCAGTGACACCAAAATGAGAGGCAGCCTTGTGAATTATCAGCCGGTGGGTAGCATCCATGCATGTCAGCCCTAGCTACAGTTACGATTGGCCGCAGACAGGATGGCTGGCTGAGGCGATGCACCACGATACCATTTCTCCGCTGTTATATGAAGCTTACCTTCGCCCATGCTTGCGCTTGAGAGAGGGGTATCTTCAACCTTGCTTCAAAGACCTACATTTCGTGCGAGATGGATCCCATCACCGCCCTAACGAGTGCCGTCGAACTTTTCGGCGTTGCCCGTCAGATTCAAAGCCTTGTGGAAAAGTACAAGAATGCACCCAAGGCTGTGCACGAGATCATCGTCGAGTGCAACTTGACGAAAGATGTGTGCCTCAATTTGCAAAAACAAGTCTCACAGACTGATATCCTCAAAAACCCGGTCAAGAACAGTACCGAGGATGGTTTGCGGAAGATGCTTGATACATGCATGGACAAATTGGAGAAGACACTCAAAGATTTGGAACACGAAGTCAGCAAGGTGCAGAGCAAAAGCGACTCGCGCATGGGAAAGTGGGACAAGACGAAGTTCTTATGGAGGGAGGAGATCTTTTCAGATGCTACGCAAAGTATCCAAGATCAGAAAGCCCGCCTTGGTATTGTTATCCAGCTTCTGCAAGTGTACGCAATGAAGACAGACGCCGAACAAGACAAAGCCACACACTAATAAGTCATAGGCGTACTGGTCAAGAAGTAAAGGAGGGCGTCCATAATGTACAGAAGGGTGTCGACACTCTCCGAGAGGAGGTTAGAGGGATATTGACCGAATTTCTCAAAAGGCAAAACCCCCCTCAACTGGGTTTACAGCCACCATCGGAGTTGAAGAAGAGTAGATCAGATACTCAGATCAACACAACAGGCAAGCGATTTGCTGACGACCTCTTTGCCGCTGTACGAGGCGGGCGGCTTGAGGACCTTGAGCCCATTTTGGCCCAAGGCGTCTCTGTAAACATAGCCCTAGGAGACCGCGGTGACCGGGCCATACATGTTGCCGCTCGCGAGGGATTTCTGCTCGTCCTGGACCGGCTTATTGCTTCCGGAGCAGACGTCAATGTCCAGAATGCGCTGCAGGATACAGCATTGCACCAGGCGCTCAATCGAGGACAGATTCCCACTTCGTTGGCGCTATTGTCGAGCGGGGCCAGTTGGAAGATCAGGAATGCCAACGGGACCACGCCGCTACACACAGCCGTGAGGAGTTCTGCATATCTTGTTGTGCAATATTTGCTCGATAAGGGGGCAGACGCAAATGCTCGAGACAGATGGGGTCATACTCCCCTTTATAAGGCATGCATTCCCCCGGAGAAGGATAAGAAAAATGACTTTGTCATCAACCTGAAAATCATTCGGTTACTCGTCGAGCGAGGAGCAGATCCGACGCTTGGGGGTTGGAAAACCGGCAGAACTCCGATTCACGGGCTTGCGTCGAGTGGGCACGCAAAGGAGCTCGAGATCTTGGCCAAGGAGGCCAAGACTCTCGAACTACCGCTGACAGGAGACTCTCAGGGTGAAACGCCGCTCCTCGTTGCAGTCAAGAACAAACACCCAGGCGCCGTAGATGTTCTGCTCAAACGTGGAGCCAACGTGAACGCGAGAGAGACTTCAAAAGACGGTACGGCGCCGACTGCCCTATGGTACGCCGCTTACAACCTGGACCTAAGCATCGCGGCCAAGCTTCTCGAAGCTGGCGCAGATCCGCGTGCAAAGAGCAATGGCATAACTCTTCTCCATCTTGCAGCGACGAAGCATTGGCTTGAGCTGGCTAAGCTGCTGGTCAAACACAAAGCCGATCTGGATGCCAAATCATCTAGTCACGATACACCTCTCCATGCGGCTGTATGGGTCAAGGATTTCCCGATAGTTCGGTTTATGCTAGAGAACGGGGCCAAAGTAGAGGCGAAGGGGTACCGCACGGCGACTCCGATCATGGCAGCAGCCGAGACCGGCTCGCTGCCAATGATTAGGCTCCTGCTTAAGCACGGAGCTCAGTGGTCTTACATGACGCCTCAAGGCTCAAACGCGTTTATTTGGTCATCGTCCGGCGGAAGCGTCGTGTGCGTGAGCTTCTTCCTCGGCTGTGGCCAAGATCTGCATCACAGGGCCGAGGGGGATTATACTGCACTACACTATGCGGCGAGGACAGGCAAAATGGAGTGCGTCAAGTTTCTTCTAGAGCTGGGCATCGATAAGCAGGTCATGCCGACGAAGATGAGAGCACCGTTCAAGGTCAGGGGGACGGCAGCCGAGGTTGCGAGGGCGCATGGGGCCGTTGAAGTAGCGGACTTCATTGAGAGGTATAGGGGCGAGTAGTGCAGTGAGATGATCACGAGTCTTGTTCCAAGTGGCCCCTGGATTCTCGCTTCTTTTGAGCGATGGAAAGAGATGTAGGTAGAGGAGCTTGGTGTTTCTTTTCTCATTCATACGCTGTCAGACTGTTGGATATTTGTCTTGATATGAATGAGATCAAGCCCTTAGCTCGATCTATTCTCCTCGATACGTCTTCGACTCTACTAAAGGACCAACAATGCTCGTTGAGATGCTAATGTACAGTAACCCTCGTTCGGATTGAAATTGTGAAGAGTAAGACTATATATTTGAACAGGCTATGATTTTTGTCCAAGAAACCGCTGAAAATCAAGAAACGAGTGTTTCCGAATCATTTCGCGTGGAACAATGAAGCTTGATCTTACAACACCAATACATGCTTTCTCATCTTACAAGGAGAGGCTTATTTGACTCTCAACCGAAGATACAAGTACTCAGCCATCACAAGGGGTTCAATAAGCTATGCGTTCGAGTGAAAGGGCTCGAGCTAGAAACACGCAAGTCTGATCAAGAGACTTCCCGGGGACGCCGTCATCACAAGGAGTACAATTGACTCTCAGCCCATGATGATTCGCTCCCTTTGAGCTGGCCATCCTCACCAATAACCATACTGGCTCCAATATCCAGGACGGTGTGCAAGGGGGATATCGACAAATATTTAGCCTACGTAGGCTCAACATCAATACTCTCTTTCCACCTTGGTTTCCTTTTGAGCTGCCTTTTCTTCCTCGCACATGTTCTTTCTCTCGGACTATAGCTGAGGTAAACAGCCAACCGCAACAACCCATCAACAACGTCATCAATGAGTCTTGCTAGGACTGTTTCATTATCCTCAGTATCTTTTAAACAAACTAGACGCGCAGTAGGACAGACACGCCCAGCTTCCTTTCCATTCAGAAAAGAGAAACACAGCCACCCGGTGTTTTGAGAGCGCGTGCCACTATCGACACTGGCATACGCATCAGAGTCTTCGCCATGGAATATTTCAACCAGCAGCATGAGATTGAAGACCCGCATCTCCTGGCGACAATGCTGGTGTACATCACCGTCGGTCGTGACATTATCACCGCCCTCATCGTGGTCTTGGCTCTCCGTTCCGTCATCGTTGGAGGCACAACGACCTTGACGCTTCGCTACTTCATGATACTCTTTGCTCGCCACATCATCATCTATGCGACCGAGATTCCCTACATCATCCACAAGAAGAGGTGGACCAGCTTCTGCCGCCGGTATCAACTACCACGCAACGTCGCAAGATTCGGCACCTTCTCCTACCTCTGTATGCAGTTCAGCCTATTTGCCGTCGAGGCCCACCTGTTTCGGCTTTGGCGACAGCATCGGCTCGATGGGGGAGCGAATGTACAGAGCACCGGTGTGGCGTTGGCGGCTATCATCACTTCTATCACCGCCTATACGGTACGCCAGGCGTACATCAAGGTGCTCTTCCACTGGGAGCTCATGCGTAGCAGCGGTCGGGCCATCAACTGAGGCCCCAGCGATGTGGGAATCATTGTTTATGCTACAAAGTACTGATGAGGCCTTCGCACTCAACTAAGGATGGGCTTTCGCATGCTTGTACGAAGCTCGGACTGGGATGGAGATGCATGGCTTTGGGTAAAGCTACATGGGAAGACTGGGGAACAGGACGAAAGAGGACTCGGCTAAATCAAGCAGATATCATCGCACTTGGCTTGTGAATAAAGATAAAACGCCTTATCCATAATCAAGACTGCGAGACATTCTTTTCACAAGAACATCGTGCTCAGGAATGGTTGTCGCCTTATACGTTTCCAAGAATATCTCTATACCGGAGCTAAGACCAGGCACTTTAATATTTCGGAAAGAGCACGTGACTTCGCGACGCACTCCAAAAGACCCCGCGATTTTCGTGTTTTAGTCAGTCTTAGCCCCAACGTCATTACTTTTTGACACTTCGCCCCTTGTCCAGATTTCGCCCCTTCGACTTGTGTAGCACAATGCAAGTGTAGATGGCGGTCTCGACAGTACTCGCAACATCAGAACCCTCGACAATTTGGACTTCTCGAGAAGAGCAACCCTTCACTGGGCATTTGTGGCAAAATGGGCCCTCCATCAACGGCAGCGCGGAAGAGGCCTACGACGACTCCCAAAAAACCGTTAACCAGGTTGCCTCCTTCGAAGAAGCCTGCAGGGAAACCCAATGCTAGCATTCTGAGTTTCTTTCAGAAGGCCGAAAAGCCCGAGCAGACGTTGTTTATCGATGGCCACGAAAAGCTCGTTGTTCCCCAAAAGGAAGATGATGAGGTACCAGAGATATATGATGCCGAACCATGGGAGGAGGAGGCGAGGTTTAATGAGGTTGAGGCGCCAAACAAGAAGCGGCGGCTAAGCCAAGAGCCCGAGAATAACGAAGGGGAACAGTCAGCCGCAAGAGATTCCAACAGCCCTGTGGTGTCCGAACCACCACCCTCATCACCCACAGAGAGGCCTTCTAAGAAGGTGGCCACTAAGCGGAAAGGCCCCTTTCTCGACGAATCTGACAGTGAAGAAGAAGAAGAAGAAAAGGTCCCTACAGCTCGGAAATCAAGTCTCATCGGTGCTATTCGCAGTCGACCGCCCATCGTCCCACCGGTCAAGTCGGAGGACGACGTGACGTCTCCAGCAATGAAGCAAGATAATGTTTCTACGCCGTTGGTTCAGCTAAAGGAGGAAGAAGAAGAGGCAAAACCGCCAGCGACGGAAACGAGCTGCCCGCCACCGCCATTGAAGGTTGAGGACTCGATCGACGCCGAATTTGCAAATGTTGACGACTTTGGTGACCTAGACGATTTCCCCAACGACGAAGATTTCGGCGGCGAAGAATACCGCATGATGCAGTTCATGGAGGAACAAGCCCGTTTGGAAGCAGAAGCCGAGGCTGCAGATACGGGCGACTATTCTTGCGACGAATTAGCCGATCCTGTACGGCCTAGCGATGCCATGGTGGCCAACTGTCCTATTTGCGACGGCACACTTGCCGGTATCACACCTGACGAAGCAACACGACATGTGAACGCCTGCCTCGATGGCAACCCAATTCCACTACCCCAACCCAAGGAGACCAAGAAAGTCAAAGATGAAGTCGCCAGACCGCCAATCCTTGAACCCCCTGAAGTAAACAAACGACTTGCGCGCGCAGCAGTACCACGAGAGGGCCAAGCCAACCCATTCAAGCTGAGCGAAGTCCAAAACAAGTCGACTTCTGCCTTCACCAAATTGATGTCTGGCCATGCTGAAGATGCTGCGTGGGCCGGCGCCGCTGCCGCAGAGCATTCATCGCGTGGAAAGCCCGCGTATCAACGGACCTGTCCATTTTACAAGATAATGCCTGGTTTCTACATCTGCGTAGATGCCTTCAGGTATGGTGCGGTCAAGGGATGCAATGCCTATTTCTTGAGCCATTTTCACAGCGATCACTATATCGGCTTGACTTCCACCTGGACGCACGGCCCAATATACTGCAGCAAAGTCACCGGAGACCTGGTCAAGATGCAATTACGAGTCGCTGCTAAGTGGGTCATTGCTCTGGAGTTCAATCAGACGGAGGAGGTCCCGGGCACCGAGGGTGTGACGGTGACTATGATCCCTGCCAACCACTGTCCCGGCAGCTCCCTATTTCTGTTTGAGAAGACAATGGGAAAGGGTCCAAATGCGAGAAAGCAAAGAATCTTGCATTGTGGCGACTTCAGAGCCTGTCCAGCTCAGGTTGCCCATCCTCTACTCAAGCCGGACATACAAGATTCGGTATCAGGCAAACTCAAGCAGCAAAAGATTGATGTTTGTTACTTGGACACGACCTACCTCAACCCCCGCTATTCTTTCCCGCCTCAGAACGACGTAATAAAGGCATGCGCAGATATGTGCAAGTCACTTGCTCCAGACCAGACGTCAGAAGACAACACATGGGACAAGATCAACAGAGAGGCTGGCACGGAGACGGTCAGCAAGTTCTTCACGAAGACAAGTACGGACGACGCCACTGCAAAGGCGAAGAAGAAAAATGCTCCAAAGGAACGTCTCCTTGTTATTTGCGGTACCTACTCGATTGGTAAGGAGCGGATTTGCAAAGCTATTGCCCAAGCTCTGGGAAGCAAGATATTTGCGTCCAAGTCGAAGATCCGCATTGTGTCCAAACTTGGAGACCCAGAGCTGACGGCACTTATGACGGATAATCCGCATGAAGCTCAGGTTCACATGCAAATGCTGATGGAAATCCGCGCCGAGACACTACAAGAATATCTCAACGGGTACAAGCCGCATTTCAGTCGTATCGTAGGATTTCGACCTTCAGGCTGGAACTACCGTCCACAAGGCGCTAGCAAGGCGGTGACAGCTAGCACTCAACCTGGCACGATTCCGATGACACAGATTCTTCAAGGCAAGGCCTGGCGGCCTCGGTTTGGGGCAAAGGATTTCGTCGCGCAACGCGGCAGCACGAAAGAAGCCATGTGTTTTGGTGTGCCATACAGTGAGCATAGCAGCTTCCGGGAGCTGACCATGTTCGTGATGTCCCTGCGCATCGATAAGGTAGTACCCACGGTCAATGTCGGCAGCGAAGTATCGAGGAAAAGGATGAAGGGCTGGATTGATAAATGGTTGTCTGAGAGGAGAAAGGGCGGACTCGTGCATCCTCTCGAAGGCGAAGAGGCCGAGGGTAAGGAAGTTGCGCTGTGGAACGGCAAAGATAGCCGTGGAGGAGGCGTCTGGTGGTGATTGCTTGCTTCATCAGAATAGCATAATGAATAATGAGTACAATGCGGTCGGGCGCAACTTCCGTTGAACATTTGATTTGTTTCGTAGATCTCTGTCTGGATATCATATCGCCTCTATTCATACTCCATGAGGCGCTGCCACACCAGGTCTTGCCAGACGCCAAGAATATCGTTGAGCACGTGTACCTAGTTGTGAGGTTTTGGCCTTCATTCCACCGCATGCGAGGACCGGCCTTTTCAGTGCCCCGGCCATAT